TTTTCATCGATTGCTTTTTGGTGTCCACTTTGCAGTTGGATGTCTACAGGAAAATTTTCAAGAAAATTTTTTGCAGCTTTTGTCGCTGTTAGGTGAAGGTTGGTCGTTGCATCTCGTGTCGCCGCAACTAAGCTATAAGATACTATTATGGCGCATTAAATATTCGCTCGTATTAAACTCCGAACTAAATTAAATTGTATTCGAAATTTCGAACTGAATTGACTTGCTCTGCCTCACGATCGCGCTTATAAATTCAAATATTGTCGCTCCCGAAATACGTAGAAAATACTCGACTCTGTTGCCATCCTTGTCTCATACTTGCTATCACTGTCTTTACTTTCCAAAATAGTCCATGCTAGAACGTTCTTCTTTACTGGAAAAAGCACTGTCGAGTGTCGTCGTCCGTAACTAGATAGCGCTAGCGCTAGACGTTATTTTCTCCAAATTATATTCGGCTTTAATTCTAGATCTGCTCTGATTATCTCTTCGGCACCGGAAACTACGAGATACGACGGTTTCGCGGGAGATATAAATTATATTGCGTCGCTTTTATATCGAATGTTGTAGAATATTTAATTATAGATAAAAAAAAAACAAAATATCTGACTGAAAAGATGTTTTGTTTCCAACACTTCATTTTGCGCAGAGTAGGTAACACGTTTTTAATTCCCACTTGCCAGGAAAATTGACGTTTATTTTATCTTCTAGCCTGTCCCTACCTGGGTACGCCCATACCAACCAACTACACTTTATTTCTCGCGCTAGTTTTCTGAGTCTGAATCCATAGATAAAAGATTGATCTCGCTTCACTCGACTAGATACCGCGCTGTCAAAAAACAACAGCTCCTTATATAAGCCTTAAATGCGGCAACTCATTATTGTAGTGTGTGTATGTCAATTTGCAATGATGCTATCAAATGTCATAAATCGTATAGCCAGCTGCTCAACTGTTACCCAAGTAATAGGGAAAATATTGTAGGTTATCATTAATATGTACCAGGTTATAAATGTGGCTCATAAAATACTTGAAGAAGATACACTTAATTAAATGCGAATATATCAATATTTTAGTGTACTTATACGATTAGGCGTAGGTTTTTTCTTCAAAAAACGCTTAGGCCTCATTTTTTGAAGTTATACTTCTTTAGGCGCGTTATGAAAAAATGATGAGAGTGAAATTTTTAGATGCGCGCGCATCACTGTAACCCAAAAGTAACAGCATTAAGTTGGCCGCGGGCGCGTTATGAATGTTAGTGTCTAATAATGGTGGATTTATTATGTGGATTATTAACCACTTAGTAGTTAATAATCCACCATTATTAGACATCTGTTCGAAAGGTACTTTGAACGATCCACGGAGCTCCATAAGATGATCGCGTTGTCAAAAACAATGTTGGCACGCTCGTCGCCTCTGATCACTGTTTTCATATTTATAATATTTATCCACATGTTTCTAGTTTCTATATAGACACAACGTGTTTTAGTTACTTACAAGTGCTAATTACATATGGACTAATAACTTAAATTCAGTAGTGATTTTAATTGAATATTTTGAATATTTATTTAATTTTTCAAATTAAAACTGAACTTAATTGACTGTGTTGACTATCCTTTTCCAGTCCTTTTATTATTTTATTGTAATTATTAATTATTTGTATGCAATTAAAAAATATTTTTAATGATGCTAAAGAAGTATAACTTCTCACGCGCGTACATAAGTTACACGGATCCATTTTTTTATATGTAATATTTACTTGTACATTATAACAGTGATTTAAGTGTGATAAGTTGGTCACTATAAACGAGACATTATTGTAACTCGGTAAGGAAGCTGAGTGTGTAATGATCAAGCTGCTTAAGACGTTTTTCAACACAACGAGGGCTACCGTTTTCTGCCTCACCAGATGGCGCCACTGTTGAGTGAGGTCCTAAATTGTAACTTTTAAAGTTTATTAATACGCACATGAAATCAAAGGTTACATTTAGATCGTATTTCAACACAAAAGAACCATATCCTAAACATAATAGGCCATGCCACAGTGACGCGCAGTTCCGTTTTATTCGGAAAAAATGGGAACATAATCCCTTTTCTAAGCTCAAATTTTTAATAACTGACATTCATTGCCACATAACTCATATTTGCCATAATTAAGCCGAATTGTTACTAATTATTCACAACATTATTTTAATTAGAAATAAACCCGCGTAGTCAACCAACAAGCAATAACATTTGACATTTCGGAGACCTCACGCTACACTAGCGCCTCTAGTGGCGGATTCATACGCGATAGCCCTCATTGCGACGAAAAAACAAACTTGTAATTAGTAACTGTTACAAAGTTCAACTGACCTTTGCAGCTTTGAAGCCAAGTATTTTGACATCACGGAGTTACCTTCAAAAACTTTTTTAAAATCGGTTGGTGACAATACTTTTGACTTTCGGCCAATATATCCAACAGAACGTCGCTTTAGAAATGTCGTTAAGTTACTATATGTTCATAAATCATCTGGCGGCAACAGCCTATCACTCGCGTTTCGTGCCTCGATAAGTATTTCCGGCGGAGTTGAATTAAAATTGCGCAAATATTATTAAAAAATGCGCTCACAGGTTCAATAACGGCACAGGAATAATTTTTAATAAATTAATATAATCGGTTCTATTTTTTAATAATCAAACGGATTTAAAAAATACTGAAAATGTAAAATAAGATTTACCCTGAAGTCGATCGTTATTATTATCATGATCTCCCTGCTAAACACATATCTTGGTATCGACTTCAAGTATATCAGGCGGTAAATCTATTTTCTTTAAGTCAGTTTTATTTTTATTAAAAATTATTTCATTTTCCCATTTTAGTGTTACACAGAATACGCTACTTGTTGGAAATTGGACAAGCGTAGATCCACACGGGTAAAACAGTGAGACATTGCTAGTAAATTATATACTAAAACTTTCTCAGAAAATGCGTATTTACGCATTAATATGCGCGAAAACCCCATCCAATTCGGATCCTGAGCTTTAAGATTATCACGGTCAAACATGCATACATACAGATCAAACTGAGAATATCCTTTTTTGAAGTCTGTTTAAAGACCGACTGTGCAGCCGGAACAGCAGCAATTTAAAAATATAATAAACTATAAGTATAAATAAATGTTTCTTAATACGTTAGTTAAGTTAATTTGTGTTTATAAATATAATATGAATTGTTTATTTGTCATCTTAACCCTTAAATAATTTAAATAATATGATGAAATTAAAAAAAAATACACAACAAGTATGGTAGTTAGTATGCTGAATTGTGAAACTCAAAAACTGTTAATAATAAGAGTCAGTTTATAAGCAAATTTGTTGAAAAAATTTATTAAAAATAATAACAGACTATCATAGGAATAAAAGGTAGATTACAAAGATAAACGTTGAATAATATAAAACTAGGTTAATTTTATTTGCAAGTTTAAATAACATAGGTTCAATAATAAAACACACTAACAATAAATTCACATTATAAATAAAAATCTCAACCATAGGACTTGATTCTTATAGGTATACGCGGCAACACCTGAATGACGTTTAGGGTTCATAATATTTTATGTTGAAATTTTACTATACTCATTGATGTTATGTGATCCCAGCGTCCTTGTTATTTATTGTTGTATTATTTCACTACATAAACTGGCATTTTACTTTCAATTAACACCAAATTTTAATAAAACATTCACTACGTACACCCCATACACAACTGTCAGGTTGACTGGCTCGGTGAAAGCTCGGGTATCAGTGTTTCCACTTTAATGATTTCCTTTCCCCACGCCTCAATTCAGATTTCCCCTTCTTAGGACATTTTTCCCCTCAAAAATTATTCTGCTGTAGTTTTTAGATTTGGCACTAGTGTAGTAACTAAAGAAAAAAAGGTCTTAATCTATCTTATTCTATAAGAGATAAATAAAATATATAAAATCTGCACGTGTTACCACAATTTCTTTTATACGGCAACACTCTAGTTCACGGTATCGTTCCATAAAAAATTTGTTCCGTGCCGCATTATTTTAGGCTAGGCTTTACCCATAAATTCCCGCAATTTCCCCTTTTCATGTCTTTCCCCTTTTTCTTCCCCTCTGGACCCTAATTTCCCCTTAAAAGGGGAATTTCCCCTCATTGTGGAAACACTGTCGGGTATGCCGATCTAAGCGTAAGTATTTGTTGTCGCATTAGGGTACGGCCACAGTGCACGCAGGTTCAGAATCAGAAAACCAGTGTCCATTACACTATTTTTAAAAATTTCGGTCGAACCTCCTTGGAAGCTTTTTAATCTCCTATTTATATAAAGTTATTAGTTACCTTTCTCTTACTTAAATACTAAAAAAAGAGACGAAAAATGTAGTGTTACGCGCTATGCGGATGCCAACGCATTGTCATATTTCTATGCCTATACAAATTAACATTCGCGCGATCGCCATCCGCTGCGGTTAGTGGCTCATGTTATACGTTGTTCAAGTTAAAATGATGATCGAAGAAAGCAAACAAGGAAAAAAGCACTTCTTCTCAAAAAGAAAACCCGAAGTCAGTTAAATAAAAAAAAAACGTAAAGCCACCGTACATGAGGTGTACATAAACTATAACCTTTTTTTTCCCACAGACTTATTGGAAAAAAAAATCTAGGTTTTATACACTTAATAAGCTAATAATAGGGAACTAGTTTTTATGAATAATCCAGTAAGTACAAAAAAGGTGTAGCGCGGTTATTAATTTTTAATTTCTATAAATAAATATTACTTTCAAGTTCGTTCCTGACAATAAAGTGCTTGGAGCAAAAAAAGCATAGACAACAACATGTATGTACGCCTTTTCAAGCTTCACGAAAACAACGGATTAGTATGTATGGAAGTGCGTTAGCTGATTGCGCCGCAAATTATTTACTCGGGTAAGTTTTAATGTCGGTATACATAGTTTACAATAACGCAGTAATTTGTTACACGAATGAAGTGGTTTTACAATAAGAAAAAAAACTGAGTATTCTTGACATCAGCAGCTTCAGCAACGGGTGTGTGCTCGTTATTGTCTTCCCACTGATGGTTTTTAGTTCTAGTGATGGTGTATTTTTCTAAAATAGGTAATAACTTAAAGAATACTCATTAATATACGATAAATAAGAAAATATGAAAAAGCTCATATTTCGGCTTAATGACTTTTATTTGGAGGTTATGCTTTCATAAAAGTGTATATAATTTCATAATTTGGTCTTTTATTTTTCAGTGTACGTATATGGTGAGGAATGAATGTGAATAAATCAATATAAGTTTGGCTTTATACAAGGGGAACAAATTTTTAATAAGTTGTACTGAAATCAGAATGGCAACTTTAGAGCAACAAGCATCTAAACTTTTAGATTTCAACCAAAAATTAGACATCAATTTACTGGATAATATTGTTGGATGCCTCTATTCATCTGTTGGAGATCAACAACGTATTGCCCAAGATATATTGACAGCACTAAAAGAACATCCAGATGCTTGGACCCGTGTTGATACAATATTGGAATATTCACAGAATCAAGAAACGAAATACTATGCATTACAGATACTAGAACAGGTGATTCAAACCAGGTGGAAAGTTTTACCTAGAAACCAATGTGAAGGTATAAAGAAATATATTGTAGGACTCATTATTAAAAACTCCTCTGACCCAGTAACTATGGAGAATAACAAAGTATACTTGAAGAAGCTTAATATGATTCTAATTCAAGTACTTAAAAGAGAGTGGCCACATAATTGGCAAACTTTTATCAGTGACATAGTAGGGGCATCTAAGACTAATGAAAGCCTTTGCCAAAACAACATGGTTATATTAAAACTGCTCAGTGAAGAAGTGTTTGTTTTCAGTACAGGACAGCTTACTCAAACAAAAGCAAAACATCTTAAGGACACTATGTGCTCCGAGTTCAATCAAATATTTCAGCTTTGTCAGTTTGTTCTTGAAAATTCTCAAAATGCTACATTAGTGGATGCAACACTACATACATTATTGAGATTCTTAAATTGGATCCCTCTTGGTTATATATTTGAGATGAAGTTGATAAGTACTCTAATATTCAAATTTCTTAATGTACCTATGTTCAGAAATGTGACATTGAGTTGTTTAACTGAAATTGCTGGTGTAACAGTTAGCAACTATGAGGACCAGTTTGTGGCATTACTTGTGCAAACAATGGAGCAGTTAGAAGTGATGCTGCCATTATCTACCAATATCAGAGAAGCTTATGCAGCTGGGCGTGATCAAGAGCAGGTATTCATACAAAACCTTACACTCTTCCTTTGTACATATTTGAAAGAACATGGCTTGCTTATAGAAAAGAGAGGACTGACAACGACCCTTATGAATGCCCTCCGATACCTTGTTTTGATATCAGAAGTAGAAGAAGTAGAGATATTCAAAATTTGCTTGGAATTTTGGAATGCATTGGCTGCAGATTTGTATAAAATTAGTCCTCATTCTTCAAGTCTGTATAGTTTGGGAAAAAGTGTTGGAGGGAGAGCATTGTATGCTGATGTGCTGAGCAGTGTTCGTTATATAATGATATCTCGAATGGCAAAGCCTGAAGAGGTACTTGTGGTTGAAAATGAAAATGGAGAAGTTGTCAGAGAATTTATGAAGGATACTGATTCCATAAATCTTTATAAAAATATGAGGGAAACTCTAGTATACCTCACTCATTTGGATTATCAAGATACAGAGCGTATAATGACAGAAAAATTACAAAACCAAGTAAATGGTACAGAATGGTCTTGGAAAAATCTAAATACGCTTTGTTGGGCTATTGGATCGATTTCAGGTGCTATGATGGAAGAAGATGAGAAAAGATTTTTGGTGGTTGTTATCAAAGAGCTGTTGGGGTTATGTGAACAAAAAAAAGGTAAAGACAATAAAGCCATCATAGCCAGCAACATTATGTATGTTGTGGGACAATATCCACGCTTCTTAAGAGCACATTGGAAATTTTTGAAAACTGTTGTGAATAAACTATTTGAATTTATGCATGAAACGCATGATGGTGTCCAAGATATGGCTTGTGACACATTTATCAAAATTGCTTTGAAATGTCGTCGACATTTTGTCACAACTCAGGTTGGTGAAGCTTGCCCATTCATTGAAGAAATTTTAAGTACAATCAGTTCTATTATTTGTGATCTTCAAACATTACAAGTGCACACTTTTTATGAAGCTGTAGGATACATGATTAGTGCCCAAATTGATCAAGTGGCCCAGGAACAGCTCATTGAGAAATATATGTTACTTCCTAATCAAGTTTGGGATGATATTATATCACAAGCATCTCACAATGTTGACATATTGAAAGATCCTGAAGCAGTCAAACAGCTTGTGAGTATACTTAAAACAAATGTACGTGCCTGCCGTGCATTAGGACATCCATATGTTGTACAGCTGGGAAGAATATATTTAGATATGCTCAATGTCTATAAGGTGATGTCAGAAAATATAACCCAAGCTATTGCATTAAATGGTGTTGTTGTCACCAAACAACCTCTGATTAAAAATATGAGAATAATAAAAAAAGAAACATTGAAGTTAATTGCTAGTTGGGTCTCCCGCTCTACTGATTGCACTATGGTGTTGGAAAACTTTATACCCCCACTCTTGGATGCTGTTTTATTAGATTATCAAAGGACTACAGTTCCTGATGCTCGGGAACCTGAAGTACTTTCATGTATGGCTGCCATTGTGTATAAGCTTGGTGGTTACATTACTTCTGAAGTTCCAAAAATTTTTGATGCAGTTTTTGAATGTACACTTGAGATGATTAATAAAGATTTTGAAGAATATCCAGAACACCGAACAGAATTCTTTTTATTGTTGCAAGCAGTGAATACACATTGTTTTAAGGCATTCCTCAGTATACCACCAGCACAGTTTAAGTTGGTACTGGACTCAATCATTTGGGCATTTAAACATACAATGCGAAATGTGGCTGATACAGGACTCCAAATATTGTTGGGTTTGTTACAAAATATGGAACTACACCCACAAGCAGCACAAAGTTTTTACCAAACATATTTATGTGATATTTTGGAACATGTATTCAGTGTTGTTACTGATACTTCTCATGGTGCTGGACTCACATTGCATGCCACCATTTTGGCTTACATATTTTCATTAGTTGAAGCTGGGCGTGTTACTGTTCCTCTTGGACCAACACCAGATAATGTTGTGTACATACAGGTATTATATTTTTTTGTATTTGTTTAAATGCTTTAGTTCAGGCCCAACACTAACAAATCTCTTATTACTTTCAGGAATATGTTGCAAACCTTTTGAAGATAGCATTCCCTCATTTAACGGACAATCAAATTAAAATTACAGTTCAAGGCTTGTTTAATTTGAATAATGATATTCCTGCTTTCAAAGATCACCTGCGGGACTTCTTAGTCCAGATAAGAGTAAGTAAAAATACTATGAACTTCTGAAGGATTAGTTTTTAGCAGTGTTCTAAGCTATCTGATTTTTACGTAAATCTAACATCTTTTAATCTGACTAATTCTTGAAAAATGTTATTCAAGAATCATAATATTTTGTTAAAATATACAGCAGTATTAAAGATTTAACATCAGTAACAAAATCGTGGCCGAACATTGTCCTAAGGTCACATTCTTTGATTTGGTACCAGCCTAAGGTTGAATATTGGACAGCAATAACAACTTAAGAGCATTTTCACAGATCTCTGGGCATATTGACTTTCCAATCTTCTGCACAAACACAAAATAGAATATTGAAGTAGCCAATTCACTAACAAAGTCCGCTTGAGCAACACACACATAGACACCATTCATGGACACAATATCTCAGACCTGTTGAGGCCACTATGAGCACAAGTTCCATCCGCTTGAGACAGGTGTCTGTGAACTTTATTGTGTTGTTTAAATTCAACATTAAATGGTGAATTGTTGTTATTTAAATTAGTAATATAATAATAACATTAAAATTGAATTATTGTGGTTATTAATATTTTATATTAACACTAGCCAGTGATTTCGTGGTTTCTCATACAAACTTCCACCCCCCTTTTGCTCATAGTGGTTTCTGTCTGATGTTAAGTGGCGCGAAGATAGCTGGTGCAGCAGTTCCAAAATGCCACACGAACCATCCCCACCTTGCCAGGTAGTAGAAATGAAATCTCTTTTAAAGGACCCCAGATTGTAAGGAGGAGGGCACACTTGCGCGGGAATAGAATTTCACAGAGCATTTTCATAGAAATGAGTCATCAAATTTGTTTGGTCTTGTGGAAAAAGTGGCCACAGTAAGTTGGTGACAATGTTACGGGCAACGTGATTAACTGCGCATTATTAATTAGGACCGGCCATTATTAATAATGTCCAAGAGAGATGGCCAAAGTGATTAATTTATCACTTTGACCGGCCATTATTAATAATGTCCGACGGCCCGTGGTCCATGTAATAAGATAGAGTCCAGAGTTTGAGATAGCTTGAATTTATCACTTGGACTGGGCAGTATGAATAACTCCAAAACCTTGTAAACGCAAGAAATCAAACATTTTACAATTCCAAATGTCACAAAAGCTCATCTTGCAGGAATAAATAATTCTAAACTTAATAACTTTCTTAAACAGTCCTTTCATTTCTTCAGTTTACTTTTTTCTGATGATTTTTTCAGTTTACTAATCATGCAAAAATAACATGTCTCTCGTTGTCTGTGGTAAAAAATACGTTTGTTATGTTGGTACTACTGTCAAAATGACAGATGTCTCGACATTTTGTGTTTGTTTTGAGATCTTGGTAAATAAAAAATAATATGGGCTCAACACTTAGAAAAATAGGTAAACAACAATCTTTAATTCAGAACCGACTTGGTCAACCCCGACACGCCGTGGTCTTGGTCTGCCCTACCCCTAGAGTGTTTTTTAGAGCCTGGAGGCGTGGAGGGACAGCAGCCCCCGCCTGCTGTGACAAAGCCGCAAGCATCGCGCGATCTCTAGCGCCTGAGGCGGGCCGAAGCCAACAAGCCGAAGGTGTGAAGGGGACTGATGCTTGTGAGTTTGTCACGCAAAGGCGGAGGGGCTGCTATTCCCGCAGCGCCGGAGATAAGGCAGAAGAACTGGTTCTTACTTCCCTAGTCCTTGCATCCTAAAAAATAGGGAACCATAAATTCTAAACCTAGTACCTATTTTTAACTAATATGTTCAATAGTTTTTGTTAACTTTTCATGAAAATTTTGTTAGTTTATATACTTTCATTTAATAAACAAAAACACTACAGTTCACCTATTTTATTACTTTGCCAAAGACACGGTGGGCATTATTCATAATGGCCGGGAAAAGTAATTAATCATTCTGTTTTAATCACATTGCCCAAATGAGTCGGCCTATATGAATACAGACCGGTCATTATTAATAGTGCCCGGACTTATCAAATTGCCCGTAACAACAACGTAGGCCAGCGAGCGTGGTCCTTAGAAAGAAAGGAGAAGGTGTATTGACCGACCGCCGCGATAGTTGCTTAACTTCAACGATTGTTGCCGAATGCGCTAACCACTTGCACCAACAAGCTCCTCTTTTTATACTTGCCTTTATAAATTCCACTTTATTTAATAATCATCGTTTTACTAACACTGTAAAAGCACTACAACAAACTTAACTCAATTTGCTACAGATTATAATAATTTGGTAGCAAACCTTCCCTTTCTGAGAGAATTGCTCATATTCAGATGGAAAATTTGCTTTTACCTTACTTCCATTTTTGATTCATTCTCGAGGCTTTATTCCTTTGTGAATTTGCAGGAATACACAGGTGAAGATGACAGTGACCTTTATCTTGAAGAACGACTGATGGCACTTCGTCAAGCGCAGGAACTGAAGCGACGGGTCCAGCTCTCAGTGCCGGGTATCCTCAACCCACATGAACTGCCCGAGGAGATGCAGGATTAATAAACCTGCTTATATATTTGGTAACAGTTCACTTTGATACGGAATGCAACAGCAATAAAGCAAACTTTAAAGAAGTATAAACTTAATTATGATTAATTATATTTTGTTTATCTGTACAATGCAATATATTAAGATGATTAATGATCCATTTTATTGTTTCCTTTTTCGTTTATACCAATGCCTTGCATGCACTTTGTAGAGCGTGTTCCATATTGAGTGCTAGAACCACATTCATTTCGCTCTGTTCAAAGTATCAGTTTTTAATTTTCTTTGGTGTTCAGATAAGCAGGTTTACCTATATAAATGTAAAAGTAATCCTTAGGTAAACCTTAAGTAATAGCAATTATTTAGTTATCATTGTGGCTTTTATTTTGTAATATAAACTCTGGAATACATTCATTTATTCACTATCGTAAATATACTGACAAGCACTTCTTTTAGTAGCTACACATTTAAATTCATAAGTATTTATTTTGATGAGGTTGGGGATTTACAAATTAATATAATTCTTAGTTTATTAAAAATATACTTAGGTATTATGTTGTTATACAGTATATGGGAATAATTTTAATGCATTCGTTTTAGTCACAGCAACTAAAATATCTATAAGTATGATGAGGAATTAATCCATTGCACTTAAATATAGCTAAGTAAATCTAAAGTGAACTGTTACCACATAATGTCTGCTACTTGTGTCTATAAAATAAAATATCATGTGCAAAGGACTGTATGAAACAGTGCAAGATGATGTATGCAAGAGTGGCTTTACAGTGCAAATCTTTTGGCATGATGTTATATTTTTCAAGAATAAGTCAGCAGGCCCTTGTTATATTTAGACAGTAATGCATCAATTTACATTGCTAGATGATGAATAGAATATTTCTATGTTTTTAAGTAATCTTCAATGTAGTAAATGAAATCTCTGTGATGGAAACCAGTGTGGGATGTTCTAAATGTGCGCTAAGGAATCTGAGTATTAACTGAGTAGATTCTAGGAAAAAAGTGAATCGCTGTTAGTAACATTTTATGTTTTTGTTTAATGTTATCTGAACTAATTTCATAATAGTTTGGGAATCGAAGAAATCGAGTAGGTTTCCGAATGCATTTTGGATCCGATTAATTGTCAGTCTTTCAATTTTGTGTTTGAATAAACCAATAAATAATAAAATGGTCTTTCTAATAAATTAAACCACGTAATAAATACAAAGAGATGGCATGAGAACTGAACTGAGAATGTACATTGTGATTTCTTAATTAAAGAATAATTAACTGTGATTTCTTAACTAACAATAATGAGGTAGAAATAAGGAGGTAGCCTGACCTCAGGTAAAGATGGTTGCGTTGCAGGAGCCCACCAATGAGGAAAGTGGTAGTTGGGAAGTCGATATTTAGAGGTATTAAGTCAGTGAGGTGCCAAATATTTTGCCTTTCATCGTTACGGCGTTTACTTTCTGGAGTCCCGGGGCAGCCGGCCCCAGAGTGAGCATAAAAGTTCCGCTTTCCCTTTTGCAGTATGAGCCATCGTTTCGTCATCAATTTGTAGAGGTGGTAGGGATGGCTTCCAGAAGTTTCCTTCAGCCTTGGCAAGAGACCAAAAGAGAGACAAGAGTTCCAGAGGGAAGTTTGATTAATCTCTTGCCAATGCTGCTGATATGCTCCAACTACGCCCTAGCAATTGCTCTTTTGCAAGACCTGGAGGCTGAGTTGTACTTTTTTTGAGGTCGTTGGTATTTGCATCCCGAACTGCCGCTGCGTTTGCCCAGGCCTGGTATCACCTCTTGTTTTGGCGAGATACCAGTTTACAGTGGCGACCAAACCAGGGTTAGGATTTGCCACTAATGGGAACCACCGAGGAAGGAACAAAAAGTTCCATACCCTGCAGAACAACGTAGGCGACAGAATCAGCAACGACCTTGGGATCATTCTGCGAGAAGCAAACCAAGGACAGGGCGTAAAAAAAGAACGTATCCCATCCTAATCTGCTGATTTATAGTGCCGTGTGTGGCACTATGTGGCGACAGCGACGATATTAAATACCCTAGATACACTAACACGCACAAAATCATGCCCGAAACCTGTGCAAAAAGGTACATGGGACATCCATCCACGGAGCTACGTAAAATGATCGCGTAGTCTAAACAATATAAGGCATTATTTAAACATTGAAAAATCACCTTTACAGCACCCTCAACGACTTATTGCTATATACGGAAGAATAGACCTTATTTCTTTGACTCTACGCGCAATTTTGAATGCGCTGTTAGCAATATAGCAGGTACGGACCGCGCGGAAAAGAGAAGGCTATATTACCGACCATGCAATTGAATATCACAAATATTTGCTATTAAATCAGTTTATAGTAAGTATTAAAACAAAATTAGATTCAAATGCCTTAAATTAACAACATTGATTAAATAACAATCAGAAAAACAACATTTACATGCTATAAGGATTTTTTTGGCATTTTTTCACGGAGCTCGGCGGCATGTTGACTTTTCAACGGTCCGCGCGTGACAGAACCAAGAAGTGCTTGAGTTGTGTTCGAGCACTTTTTAATAGGGACCTATTTTAAGCGCACGTGGTGTATCTAGGGTATTCAATATAGTTGGGCGACAGCCAGAAAATTGTAGGTGCGGTGAGTAGGTGAGTGACACTAGACTCCAGATCAGACAAAGGTCCTAGGAGCCAAGAGGGGCATCTATTAATTTTTTAACGAAAATATCGCGAGGCGGAAAGGTGACTGCTTCGATACTTCGAGCTAGGGTGTAAAAAGTATTTGGTTCCCCGACCAAATACTAAAACGTTAGGTTTATAACCAGTTAAAGAGTTAACATTACTGTTCATCACATGTTGAATTTTGGTACCTAAGGTAACTATCCCACTTCTTGTCGTCATCGCCTACTAGGGCAGTTAAAGCAGTGATTTTTGTTCTGTTATATCTTTCAGTAGGGGGACTGACTTGGGGAGAGTGTGAAATAAAAATGGAATATATTTCTTTAGGAATAGGATAAATTCATGCGACTGGAATTGGGTTCAGTTATCCATGATAATAAAATAAGAAAGATGGAAATCTCGAGGGAAGAGATTATATCGACACGTCCTACGCATAACTAGGTAACTGCCCTTGAAGAGTAATACGATTGTTTCGTTTGTTAAAAGATCAGACCCGTCTTATCCAGTGGGCACTTTGGACAAGTGCCCGGGGCCTCCTCAGATCAAATACAAAGTCCCTAGTTCTTGTTAAATCACCAACCGGGGGTCATAGGGACCCCGTTATCCTATATAACGAACAGACAGGAAGACGGCACTGTAAAAGACACTTATGTATTGGCCTTAAAACAATGTATACCTATTTATTTATAAGTTGTCGCTTTATTTCCCTTTGTAAGTTTTTATTTCAATACGGTGGAGGATTAAATGACTCGTCATTTACGACAAATATCACTTCCGCGAATATCTATAGTTTAAAATTAAAAGTTACAATTTTGAAAATTCTTTGTCATGCAATTACCTACACAAACATTATTAAACTTAAAACACTGGACTACATACACTTGTTTATTGGCCTTAAAACAATGTATATTTATGTATTTTTAAGCATTTAACTTTTGTTAACTGATGTTTAAATCTAAAAAAAGATACTAGAGAAAAAAACACGTGGGCCAGGCAGAAAGCAGACAGGACTCGAACCCGCACTCTCCGCTATCCGGGCGGATGCATTGGCCAATTATGCTACCGCTGGTCTAATGGCCGTGTCGAATTTGCTCTAGTATTTCTTAGGCTGCGAGGCTGCGCTGTCTCTTCGTATTGTAGGTAATCCACATTTTCATTCCATTATAAGTATACATTGGTGTCGATTCTAGCATGATTCTCTAAACCTAAACTTAAATTTGACAGCAGTATATCCTTGTCATTCTCTATACAGAATGAAAAGGAGAGACTGATGTTAAATTTAGTTTTAAGTTTAGAGAATCACGTCAGAATCGACACCATTGGCTGTTTAAGCTAAATGGCATAAACCTTACATAGTGGGGTCGATTCCGTAGTGATTCTCTAAACTTAATTTTTTTAACATCAGTCTCTCCTTTTTATTCTGTATAGAGAATGACAATGATGCACTGTTGTCAAATTTAAGTTAAGCTTTAGAGAATCATGCCAGAATCGAGAGGACCGCACTCACGACGAAAGCGCACGGATCCGCCCTCCCTACGAAGTGCTCCGCCGCAAAACTGACTTTTGCTTCTCGGCGAGCCCAGGCAGTGCTCGCCATCACGCCAGCGGGGACCACCGCGCCTCACAACCGCAGGCCTGAGCGCGCCACAACACGCATCATGCAAGACTCCAATCCGAGGACCGTAGAAGACACGGTGTACCACTTAACGCACTACGGAACCGCGGTGTTCGGGCTAAAATCGCCGCGCGTCCAATATGAATTGGATGCGTCGACGGCAGCCCGACTCCTGAGCTCAGGACTACTGTCGGAACGGCTCGAAGATTGGTGTTACGTCCGTCTCTTCGAGCTAGACGAGAGCACCACCCAGAACTATCGCCTCGGTGACAGACCAGTCATCAACGACTGCAAGAGAGCCAACACGATGCCGCTTACCTTCCCGCCGCCACGCAACCTAGAATTGAAGCCAAGCAGACGACATCGAACACGGAGGAAACACGACCACGCAGAAGACGCTCGTGCGACCCACGCCTCTGCCGGTCCCGCAGCTGCGGTGACTCCCTCGTCACTTTGATGACGCCTCTGCCCACTTCGACGACCACCCCGAAGTCCGAAGAACACCAACCAAAGCGCGAAACCGCCCCCGCTGCCATAGAAAAACAAAAAGTTGTAAAAACTGTTTTACCGACACAGAAGTCGGTAAGCTACGCCCAGAAGGCTAAAAGTTTCACGACTACCCCCGAAGAAAAAGAAAACTCGAAATCGACCGCCGCCTTTCCCGCCGCCGCGCCGACCTCGCCATCGACCAGCAACGCTACCACACCCTAACGGGTCCGAAAACACCCGCCGATCGTGGTCGAAAAGCTGCCGGAATGGCCGAAGCACATTCGAGCCCTGCACGCCCAACTCGGCCGACCACCCAGCGCGCGCCCGTTCCGTACGGGTGTGCGCTTCCAGCCGCGGGACGACGAAGAGAGCCGGCTTGTCCACGCGTACCTCTCCGGATTGGAGGGACAGAGCGGGATAAGCTGGTACACACACGCCCGCCCCGAAGACCGCAGCATCAAGGTGGTCATACGAGGGCTACCAATTGACACCCCGACGAGCGACATCACCGAGGCCCTAACTTGAATGCTTTGTAGTGGAGCACGTCAAGCAGATCCGGGCGCGAGCAGGCCGCCCCGGATGTTTGTACTTCGCCGCACTGAAGCAGAACGCAGACACCATCCCGGCCATTTACGCCGTCAGCGAGGTTCTGAGCATGACCGGGATCAACATAGAAGCCTGGAGAGGAAGCAAGATCCCCGCGCAGTGCCACCGCTGCCAGGGGTTCCGCCACTCCAGCCACGGATGTCATCGCCCGCTTGCCTGCGTGCGCTGCGGTGACTCACACGCCGCCGCCGACTGCCCCCGCCCGCTCGAGCAACCCGCCACTTGCGTCAATTGCAAGGGCGAGCACCCCGCAAGTCACAGCGCATGCCTCGCGCGTCGCCGCGAGGCGCGTAATCGCCGCGCAACTACAGTGGCCCACACGGGCCGCCCTCCTACCGAGCCACCCCCGCAGCGAAATGAGGTGAGCGAGCATGCGCCGGCCACCCTTAATCCCCCGCAAACGCTCCTCCCTCGCACACAAGCCGCCCCAAACACCGCCGCAAAAGAAGCCGCCGCCTAAATAGTGTAGCGTCAAGCGACACCACCCCCGCAGCCACAGCACCCAGCACACCCACAAACTCAGAGCAAGATCCGCCGCCAACCCTCGAAGAAGCACTACACAAGATGCTCCAGTTTTCGAACCTGTTATCGGACTTCATCAAAAAGTTCTGGCAGGCCGAAATAAAAGATGACAACATACCCCCGCTCAAGATTCTACCCCCGCGCGCTAAGTCCGTCGCCCGCTCGCAGGTCGCTCACTGGGCCTCCCTCATGGGTCTCACCCAGTGGGCTTGACCTGTGAACGCGTGAAGACGCGTTGGGGGTGGACCCCAACGACCGTTTCGTACGTGGCCAACGTGGCCAACCGAATCGAAGTGGGCCAACCGGGGAGTCTGCTCTGGGCCCAGAGCAGAAGAAAGAGAGCCAGAATCGACATCACAGTCAAGTTTATTAAGAATAGCTGTCTCTGGCTGTCAAAATAATCTGTCACTGCCTTAGCAATGAATTCGTAGCTCATAAAATGTGAATATTCTAATCTTTTAATTTATTAAAATCTCATTAAATGAAAAGCATTTTCGTATTTATTCTGAAAATAAATTCTCGTAAAAAGTCCTAGCGCGTTTGTTTTTTGCAACGGTCTGCACACTAGGGATGCAACGATACCATCTAGGGGTACGGCCAGAGTGCACTCAGATTCAGACTCAGAAAACAAGCGCGAGAAATAAACAATGTAGTTAAAGCAGGGTGGCCATAGTGGCAGCAGGCAACCTGCTCAAACTACACTGTATATTTCTCGCGCTTGTTTTCTGAGTCTGAATCTGAATCTGAGTGCACTCTGGCCGTACCCGTACCCTAGGAATCTATACTTTTACTCGATACTGTATCTGTCATAAAGTATCGATGCCTACTCGGTATCGAATGAAAAGTATCGATACTTAATTGTATGGATTAATGTTGACGAACGATATTACAATTACAAATTCAGCAACAGTTTTAATTTAACGAAAACAAAATAACGGCTCACGCCACGCGATGAATGAATGTCTGACAGAATAAATTGGAATTTATATAAATCATACGCAAGGCTGCCAACTGAGCAGTAGAAAAAATGCGTTCGCAAAACAAAAATTCCAACTAGACACCTTACCATTAAGTAAAAAATCTGCCTATCAAGTTTTTGGAGTTTACTCCTTAAGAATCGATTTGCATATATAAGGGGCCCGTTATTTACACATTTACATTCACACTGGTTTTTACCTGCTTTACATAAGTTAATACAAATTTAATACATTTCGTTTTTCCTTCATTAAGTAATAAATTATTAACATTGAACCAGTGGACTACCTTAGAAATACAACTGTTCACGTCATCAATAATTGTTTTCTTGCGTTTGAGTTTAAATAAAGTGATGTATCATCCGTAAACAATACTATCTCATGTTTATCTCTTTCATAGTAAGGTTATTGATATATAAAAAAATAAGAAAGGACCAAGGATTGAGCCCTGCGAAACACCCATGTTAACTGGCGAACCCTGAGACGTACTGCCATTAATGTCAACCCTCTAAATCCTATCCCTCAGTTATGATTCAATAAGATCCAGATCGGTATCTCTAAATTCATAGTGGTGGAGTTTCTAAGTAATGTTTCATGAAAAACGCAATTAAAAGCCTTGGACAAGTTGCAAAACACATCTAGAGCGTCCCGCGAGTTCTCTAAGGCGTTAAAATTTTTTTGTATAAGTTCATCATCGGCATCGGTTGTTGAACGACCCCGTGTAAACCAAATTGTTTACAGTGAAGTATATTATATTTATTAAAATGTGATTGCATTTGATCTAACATGAGTTTTCGAAAATTTTGCTACGGATGGGTAGAACAGAAATTGGTCTCAAAACTCTTCCCCCGTTGTTTGTGGGGTCTGATATACTTCCAGTTTTATGCAAAGGAGTTATTTTACTTTATTTCATGAGGTCAGGAAAAACACCATTGTCAACACAATCATTAAATATGCAAGCTAGAATAGGAGCTATTGTCTCAATTACCGATTTAGAAACATCAACGGAATTGCCCATAGATCCGGCGTTTTCTTTTTATTTAATTGGTTAAACGTTTTTATTACATCTTTAAAGTCAACATATTTAAAATGAAAATGGCTAGTAGAAGTGTTCACGTTTGCTCTTAAAATTGATTCGGCAGCAACGGGGGAAGAGTTCAAAGATTTAGTCGTTGAATCTGGAATATCAATAAAGAAATTTTCGAATGCTGTAGCAACTTCAGTATCTGATGTAACCTTTTTATTAACAATGGTGTCGATTCTAGCGTGATTCTCCAAACTTAAAACTAAATTTAACATCAGTCTCTCCTTTTCATTATGTATAGAGAATGACAAGGATGCACTGTTGTCAAATTTAAGTTTAGCTTTAGAGAATTATGCCAGAATCGACATCAATATTTAAGTTATAATTATTATTGCGGGTTTTGGATTTTCCCGTTTCATTGTTTTTAATATTCTTTATATATTATTATATGTCAAGTATGTTTATTATATGTCATTTTGATTTTGTCATTACTGTTCTTAATCTTGTTCTCACTCTAACCATATTAAATTTATGAAACAGATAGCTCTCTGATGCATTGCAACAAACACGACAGATAAGTGTAGTTCTGCCATAATACATTTAAATAAAAAAAAACATATATACCTCAAACGGCCATATTAGTTATATTTTTTTGGGCACACAATAAAATAAAGAAGACGGTACGGAGGACTATCCACTATGTTGTAGTTACAGCATGGTGGTACGAACGTATCACAGACTTTACAAAGTAAGCACTTATTCTTAAGTTATTATATTCATAATTGAAACATACCTCAAAAACAAAAGTTTTTATTAAGTAAGATAATGGTAGGTGGGTTTGAGCATTGCGTAGGTATATATTAAACGTAGGCATAGCGAGCGTTGGATTCGATGTAGTTTACTTGGTGATTTGATGAACAAAGTTCGTAAAACGTTGTACATACAACGTATTGTGATTGCAATTTAGTGAAATAAATCAATGATTGAAACGAAATGCATTCGTCTAATGTTGCAGTGGAGCGTTATTGAAAACGGACGGAAAAAGGGACGGAATATGTAAAAGGACATCGAAGGGACGCTTTGATGACAAAAGGGACGAAAATCGTCGCTTTTGGGACGTTCTGGCAACGCTGCAGCTAATAGACATGTATTTGTTAGAAATTTTGGGTCAATCGATTACAGCGCCCCTAGTGGCCAAATATTGCAGATTTCTTGTCCATTCGTAAATCTCATCTGGCAACCCTGTCTCGTTTAAAAAAAACCCATTCCATTCCATTGATTGATTATATTTGTATTGGAACTAGAACACAAATGTGCAAAAAAGTTAAATAGGTACTAACAGATAAAGTAATACTTCATAAAATGCCTACCGCGAGCGAAGATGCGACTGATGAGAGCAAAAGTTTAGTCCCTAATGATAGTAATTCAGCTGATACAAGTGAAACAGTGGATGATAATGTAGATGTAAGTACTTACTTTAGATTTTTGTGTGTGTTCCCTTACTTTTTTTTGATAATAATTCAAATATAGGCCAGACTCAACGACCTTGATCTCAATGATTTATCAGGTGCATTTTTTTGCAACTTAGTGATGTCAAACGTACCTGATGTCCTTGTTTTTATCATAACCTTTTTTTTCTAGATCAACGCTCAGATCGATGAACAACGACGGCGAATGCAACCGACCAAACTGGAATCCTTTTTTGCCATCACCAAATCCCTAATTATTAGAGCATTAGTAGTTTATTTCATAACATCAATGTTTAGACAACCTTCTGCACCAAAACCTGATATTAATAATCCCACAGGTACACCTCGTATCCCAGCTATCAATATGTTTGCAAATGGTACAGTATTGGATATGTACTGTTATGTATCTGAAAAAAATCACCTAATTGATCTCAATGATGCTAGCCTTATTTGGAAACATAGTGGTTTAGTTTATGGAGACTGGAATGGAGGTCCCAATGGTGATGGTACTTTTACATTTGAAAGTAGTATTACAGCATCTAATTCTTTGAAAAATAATGGTTCAATATACCTTCATGTTTATTTAGTCCAGAATGGAAAGTCACCAGATTCTAAAGACAAAGATAATTATGGTGGACCTTATATAACATATGGCAATAAAATGTTGAATAAGTACAAAAAGTTGCGATATCAGAAAACTCACAATTTATTGACTGGTCAAACAGAAAAATCTTTAGAAGAAGTACAAAAAGCTGAAACTTTAAAAGAGGAGATTGTATCTCATTGGCATCCTAATTTGACTATTAATTTAGTGACAGATCAAACTAATTGGATGCAAGGAAGTGTACCACCTCCGCTTGATGAATTTATTGTATTTTTGCCAGAAGGTAAAGAGTATAAACCAGCTGTTTTCTTAAACGATTACTGGAATATGATGCGAGACTATACTCCTATTAATAAAACTACTACAAAGCTGGAATTGAAGCTGACATACCAGCCCCTAAGTCTTTTTAAGTGGCAATTGTATACAGCTCAAGCTATGAGGGACAAGTTGAGCATGTTTTCAGCCTTGGGTGCTGAAGAACAGGATGAAGAACAGGATACAGTAAAAGAATTGCTTTTGGATACATCTCCCTATTTGCTGGGACTTACTATTTCAGTTTCCGTTTTGCATTCAATATTTGAACTACTTGCTTTCAAAAATGATATTCAATTCTGGAATAATAGACAGTCTTTAGAAGGACTGTCTGTGAGATCAGTATTTTTTAATGTCTTTCAGTCAACAGTGGTTTTGTTGTATGTTCTTGACAATGAGACTAATGTCATGGTAAGAATATCCTGCTTTATTGGCTTGTTGATTGAAATTTGGAAAATTAATAAAGTAATGGATGTGAAGGTAAATAGGGAGGAGCGTATATTAGGAATTCCCAAGTTGACATTTACTGACAAAGGTTCATATGTTGAATCTAGTACAAGGGAATATGATATATTGGCATTCCGATACCTAAGCTGGGCCTGCTTTCCACTGCTCGTTGGATACGGAGTGTACTCACTTATGTACCAAGAACATAAAGGATGGTATTCATTTATCCTTAACATTATGTATGGGTACTTACTGACATTTGGTTTTATCATGATGACACCACAATTGTTTATAAATTATAAATTGAAATCTGTAGCTCACCTGCCATGGCGTATGATGACTTACAAATTTTTGAATACTTTTATAGATGATATATTTGCATTTGTTATCAAAATGCCCACAATGTACAGAATAGGTTGCTTCAGAGATGGTAACTATGTTAATTATTTCTATTTATAGTTTTAATTTGACATTACTCTTTAATAACAAGTATAATCTGTTTTTTATTTCAGATATTGTTTTCTTTATATTTTTGTACCAAAGATGGATTTACAAGGTTGACCACAAACGTGTGAATGAATTTGGATTTTCGGGAGAAATGGAACAACAACAGAAATTATCAAAGAATGGAACTGTTGCTATCACAGAAGCTGGTGAGCAGTCTGCCGATAAGAAGAATGACTAGGAAATTATTATTATACAAGTATAATAATTGTTTATTATTGTCTGTTTGAATCTATTTCATTTTTAAATGGATTGTTTCATTGTGAATTGTTTTCCACATTATTTACATTTATCTAATTGGTGTAGTAAAGATATTTAAGATAGTAGTATACTTTATTAGTATTTAATATTTAACAGCTTAATAATAATAGTGGAAACATTCTTTAAAAATAGTAAGTATTTCAATATAATACGGTATTTAAAAAAATGATTTTTTTTAATTAATAGTCATTTATATACCCAACTACCAAATGGTTAGACCACAGTATATATCATTATGTACCCATGTCCTATCGCTCTAGGGTGATTTAAATGGTATTGATAAATAAGTCTGTATTATGTCAATTATTTTATTTAAATAACTTAATAATGTAATGATATTGTATACAATTACTGATATATTCTTTTAAACTTTCATGGTCACTAACATTATAGTAATTTATGTTATTTACGGGATTGTTATCATGTACCTTGTTTTTAGCGAGTTTCCGATATTTCGGCACCGTTGCAAGCGCCATGATCACGTTGTAACTGTAGTTATTGCGGGTAGGCTGTTATTGGCAGACATATTGGTCTACCCTCTGACAAATTCTTTCATTGCGTTCGACACCCGTACCACTGTTCACATTCTTACTATTCACTCGAAACTGTTCTTGACACACAACGCTCACAGTATCGGATCGCGACACAACACTTTGATTATTCCGGTTTTTACACATACAGATCACAGGACTCCATACACTAGAAAATTTAAACCTGTCCTCACGATTGAAATTTTCATGTTATGTTTTTTCAATCCTCACCCCTGACCAATGTTGGTATGTAGTTAGTTACTCCATGATCATGGCGCTTGAAACAGAATATTTAAGTCCGAAATATCGGACATAAATTACCATACTAGAATTATTGGTTTATTAAATAAATAATGAATGATATAATAGGTATAATAATAACGTCCATAACATATTTTTTTGTACATAATAACGATACCCATCATCATAACTCGCCCCTTTTGTTTTACAAGCTTATGATATTAACTGATTGTGTATTGTTTTAAACATTCATGGACACTAACATTATACCTAAGTAAGTTTGTAAGTGGAGTAACTACTCCGTGATCATGTCGCTTGCAACAGTGCCGAAATATCGAAGACACAAAATACAAGGTACATTGTAATAATCCCGTTAATAGCTATAATAACAGATTGTGGTTCATTTTCCTTTAAGAAAAATACACTGCTGACAATGTCAAATAGAAGCCTATTTTCTTCTGCAGAAAAAATCACAATTAACTGTTATGAAGTCTGGAGTTCAAAGTAATTTGTCGGTGTTTGTTATTTTATATAAATACCATTTAAATCGCTCTAGCGCGGTAGGACCACGGGTGCATAGTGGTATACCGTAGTCCCACCAGTAGTAGGACAAACCAGTGCAGTTGGACCACGGGCCCTTAACCAGTTTTTCATACAAACTACAATGCATTAAAAAGTATAGTAGGACCACCTGTTGGTGCAATGGCAGCTCTTCTGCTTCATAGATCCTGGGTTGAAATCCCCTGATGAGCTCAAATATTTTTTCTCCGAGTCATGGTTCTTTATAATGGGTATAAACATCATAGGGTATTACTAACATTTCTTGTTAAACTTCTAAGGCCAATAAACAACTCTTTAAGGCGCGGGACACAGAAACGACGTAAGACGCAGATATTCAGTGTTTCATACAAAATGTATACAACTGTCTTTTCTATATGTTTTGCGACGCGACGCTTCTATACGTTTTGTATGAAAAGGACTTGGAAGAGACGTGACCGCGCCCCGTCTCAGCGTCTTACGTCTTTTTCCTGTGTCCTGCGCGATTAAAACGTGTGCTACAGGTTTGTAAGCCCTGTTGTAAGCAGAGATGACCTTACTAGTTTAAAAAAAGTGGACGGCTGTAAATTTCGTTTGATTTTGCAACGTCCTCGCGGGCGTTGTATAAACTGTGCCGTTTTAAACTCCGTTTACAACCACAGAACATATCTTTTCGTGTTTACAATGCACCCTGTTGCCAACCAACACGCAAGCGACAAGCGCAGCAGCGCAGCCGTATCCCTGCAGGCAGCGAGTGCGCGCGTCTAGGTTACATTCGCAAAAATGACGCGATGTCTGAATTTTAGAAAGATTTGCCTGGGAAGTACCACTTATACTTCGTGGTACTTCCTAGGCAGCCTTCCTAAAGGATCTGCCTCGCTCTACGTGGACGCGCCTTATTACGCAAAAAAGCGGCTAAGTGCGTGTTGTGCCACGCGCAGTGTAGGGTTCCGTAGTTGCCTGTAGTTACCGCAATACATTGTTTTAAACTTTCATGGTCACTAACATTATAGCTTTTAACGGGATTGTAACCATGTACCTTGTTTTTTATGAGTCCGATATTTCGGCACTGTTGCAAGCGCCATGATCACTGAGTAACTCCGTGAGCCTTAGTGAGTTACTCCGTGATCATGGCGTTAATATCGTCCCGTTAATAGCTATAATTACCGCAATATATTGGAGCTGGAGTCTTTATTTTCTGTACCGGAAATTAGAAAAACAAATTAATATCAATGTATGTATCTCAACTAAAATACCTAAATCAAAGTAAACTGCGTCTAGAATTCAAAATCAATTCGATATTATTATTCTTTAAATACGAATGACAACCGCCGATTTGTTATTGTTTCCTCCCAGGCGGGGGAGCGGGTGTGAAAGCCGGCTGCAGGGTGCAGCCGGCTGCAAGGTTATGCCAGACTCGTACAGACTACAACACACCCGCAGTTCATCACTCGAACACAAATTAGCTCTTTAAAGAGCAATATTTCGCAAACGGATTCCTAAATCGAAAAATAGTCTTAGAAATCCCTAAGTTATTTTAAAGGACCTATTCAACGACATCCTACACGATGAAAAAAAATCATCATCAATCATCTAAAAATAATATTGCTCAAATTTTTATTCTACCATTTTGTCGGCGTGATCGATATACATATTTCCACAAAATTACGGCTCTCTAGTGTTAATAGTCTAAAAATAAGGGTTCCTTGTCAGGACTACGGAACCCTAAAAACGCACACATATAGTTTATTACCTGGATTGTAGTATTAACAAAAGAAAAACAATACACTCTAATGTAAATTATAATGGAATTGTAATAAAAATCATTGCCTAAATACAATCTCGGATATAACAATATACATATGATTGAAAATTTATAATTAGTGTAAGTAACATTATTTTAATGAAACAGACTAAGATTCATTTGATCTGTAGAGTTTCTATGGTTTACATTCGTAAACACTTGTGCGCATAGAGGTATAAGAATAGAGTAGGGGAGTTAAAGACTCTACTATAAGTGGAAGTGTCCCTCTAATAGAAAGAGAAAGATGAGAGACCGCTAGCTTTCTTTCTAATCACACATGCGCATTGGCAACCGTAAGCATCTTACTATTCCGATGTGATGTTTGGAACAACTATTGGGCAGACGACTGCGCATACGTCACAAGAGAGAGAGAGAGAGAGATAGCTAGCGGTCTCTCATCTTCTTTCTCTTTCTACTAGACAGACACTTTTAGAGCCGCCTTCCCCACTCTATTCTTATACCTCTATGCTTGTGCGGCCAACGAAAGAATGTGACCCTGACATGTAGTGTTAGTTCCTTACGGCGACAGAATTAGAGTTTCTTTTCGGACGTCTCGTTTACTAGATCGAAGGTGTGATATCAGGTAAGTGCCCCTTTGGTATAACAAATTACGCAACTATCTTGGCGTTTTCTATAGTATCGCTAATTAAATTACATTTTAATAGCTACAACAAAATATCTTGTCAAATAACTTGGAGATTCATGTCAGTATCAGGCCCAATTTCAATCACTATTCAACTTCCCCTGAGACAAAAAGGAAACAAACCATAAAATAGATTTTCAATAGGAAGAATTTTTAAACCCACATAAAATCGTAATGAAAACGGAAAAGGACCTAAAACTATAGATAGCTGTTCTCTAAATTTGAACGCAATATAATACTACTAAATTGAAGAGTAGTGATTAAGCAAATTATTTACGTTGCAATGTGAAATTTTGTCATCAGTCTGGTTACACCGGCCATCTTTATTCTCGGTCAAAAGTTTTAGAAACATTGGTTTGTTTACCATTTGTATTAGAGGAAGTTGCATAGATTTAAAGTGCTTTGTCGGATGTGTGGACTTCTTATATATTCTTCTTCTTGTTTTGCAATATTGTGACTGCGATAAATTATGTCTGCGTGGACCTCGCCTAGGTGCTGCCACCTAGTGCCCGTCAGATACAGAAATCCCATATTTCATCAAAACATAACATTTTAATCAGACTGAAAATTATATTTTTAAAAATTAATCATACACTTATAGAGCTTCTTTTGTTTTGATAATACGCACACAATGCTGTTTGACATGCTCATTTATTATTTTGTATTGTAACTACTAACGAATATTCCTTCTGACGTTCATATCACTAAAGTAAGTAACACGATGTAGTATATAACTTTAACATGATATAACTTTTGTAAATCACCAAATTCTTTAAACGAAGTTCACGTAATGTTGCGACTTAGAAAACTCGGTGCCCTTATATGCACTTTATTATAAATCGAGTGGCACTGCAGGCAGTTAGTTATACGACGCATACGTATTGACAATGGCGTGCGCAGACGAGGAACTTTTTTTCCCTCAAAAAAGATCGCTTACATCACGCATCGAGTTGCGCACACGAGGAATTAAAAGTACCGCTTACAAAAAGTCCCCCAAACAAAAGACCGGACTGTGGACCAAGTAAGGTTGCAACGCATACAACGAACTTCAATCTGCTTTGCGCAATCGGCCTCTACATCGTACCATCCCTTTATATCGGACCGAGCGAGACAGCGATCCAGATTATCTTTTAAAACGTCTCCTCTTTTTCTTTAACTTCATATCATTAACAACACAACGTAATCTCAGAATATTTGCTTCCATAGTGCGCGCTTCTCTAAATCTTCAGTTGACAAATGTCCGCGCACTGTTTGTGTTATTCTCGGCGGACATATTTTTCACGATTCAGGGATTTTTGTCTTCCGCGGGCAAAGTTCCCTGTTTTTTTTTTGAGTGTATGCTGTTGGTCGCAGATGACCTTTACAGCGTCACCGGGTTTGGGGACGGCGAGATCCTAAGGGGACCTCAAGACGAGAATTGGCGAGTGCCTCTAGAGGTATTCCAGGCGGATGGCATCTCCCCGCGGGGGGAGTCCTCTCCGTCTGGAGCCTCTAGACCACTCGAACCTGAGAGGGCAAAGTTCCCTGATCTGCGCAGGCCATAAGGTGTAGAATGTTGCGCCGCTACCGGGTGCTACCGGTTGGGGCAGCCGGGGGCCCAGTGTCCGCGCGCGCCGCAGCTGTAGCAGCGCCCGTAACCGCCGTAGTACGCGCCCGGGAGCCCTGGGACCCTCCCTCTTCGCCCACTAGAACCATTAGCGTTTGGTCTCCCGTCTGTAGGTATAAAACAAATATATATTTTACGCCATCCTCTTTGCCATGGAGGTTAGAGATAAGGAGAACGATCGCTGTTGAAAATAGTGTCCCAGAAATATGGACAAAATAAGTGAGACGCTGCGATCGCTAAGTAGTCTCGATAAAAGCAGGCTAATTTGAAATGACCAATGCCGCGAACAAAATTTGTACATTATTCAACTAATTTCAACTACTTGTACTTATAAACAGCTAACTTCACAGATACTACTTACCGACGGCAGCGCGGCTGGTGGCTGAAAAATGAACTATAAATTCTACAAATTTTCAGGGTCAGGCGGGCTAATGCTTTAGTACGTAGCGATCGTTCTCCTTCTCTCTAACCTCCATGGCTCTGCGATATTGATAGATAATAAAACTAATGTAATTAGTATTTATATAAATTGCATGCGAACCGGTTGCGTAGCTTTTCGACATTCACAAGTGCTTGTAACAGCCTAGACTGAATAAACGATATTGAATTTAGATTTTTTATTTACAATTACAAATAACACTGTTTCTAATATAAACTCAAATAAAAATTTAAAGTATGATACCGACACAACACATAATTACACCTTCAAAGACGACAAACGACCAATACTACAAACAAATAGCATGAAGTTTATAGTACATAGAATAATAGTATCAGCAATTATACAATTTTTTATAAAATACATAATGTGTATATTTCAGTTCAGTGCCGTCGGCTTCCGGAGATTACTCTTTTAAATTACACCAACAATATCTATTCAAGTCATGACCAGTAAAAATGTATATAAGTCGCGACAAGAAACTACCGCTGACCGTTATTGCGCAGAAGTAAAAATTAAGACGTCTTGAAGTGAAAGTGAAACAAGTCTGTTATTTTAAAAATTTAATTATCTAATATATAAAATTCTCGTGTGCGTAATTGAACTCCGAAATGGCTCGACCGATTTTCGTGAAATTTTATATGCATATTCAGTAGGTCTGAGAATCGGACAACATTATTTTTCATCCCCCTAAATGATAAGGGTGGGTAAACACGACATATGGGCAAAACATTAAAAACATTTTTTTGGACATTTTTTTTTGTTTTTATTTGTTTATGATAAATCATACAAAAAGACATTCAACTCTAAATTTTCACCCTTCTACCACCCATATTTTTATGCTGATAAAAATTTCGCTGGCTCAGCTAGTAATTTTATAAAGTAAACTTACCTGTACTATTCGAAACAGTTGCGTTGGGGCTCTCTGTGGCCGCGGCGCTATTGTCGACGGCAGCGGTATCACCGGCGGTCGCTCCGGCAAGTTCATCGGAATCATCGGCAACCTCGTCAGATCCACTGTTTGAATCGGACGAATCGTCGTAGTAGCGCCTGCGGAACGGCCAGTAGGTGTCGTAATCGTCGCTGTTGAAGAATTGCAAAAAAAGAACATTAAGTATTGCCTGTGTTCGAAAGGAAAAGTGAGTTCAGAAAACATTTTAGCACGGTGAAAGCTGCAGAATGGCAGCCACTCCACCCGCTTCCAGAAAAAGAATTATGAATCTTAACAATGTTTGGAAAAGGGGCAAGGGCGTAGCCAGGATTTATATGGTTTATATAGTAGGCAAGTAAAACTATGTTCGCTACAAATGAAAGGAGATTGCTCAGCTTCCATACATGTTTGGCCTAAAGACCAATAATCATGAAAAATTGTTTCACCCTACACCCTACACCCCTGAGAACTTCTATAAACCATATACACTTAACATATTATAATAATAAAAAATGGGTGCGTGTACTTATGTAGGCGCGTGAGAAGTTATCCTTCTTTGGCATCGTTTAAAATTAGTTTTTAATTGCATGCAAATAATTAATTACAATAAATTAATAATAAATTCATTTCATTTCATATCACATCATTTCATTTCATTTCAATGTCCCGTTCAAATCTGCCCTGTTTGCTTTGTTCAAATCTGCCCCACGGTCACTTGGAAAATAAAATATTACAAATAACGCGCCCGCGGCTATCTTCATTATGTTAAAATTTTGTGTTACAGTGATGAAAATTTCACTCTCATAATTTTTTCATAACGCGGCTAAAGAAGTATAACTTCAAAAACAGATAAGTTATATAGTAAACTAGCGAAATCAAGCCAAGTACCGAAATTATGGATTAGATTCAGGTATATAGAGCATGTAGATTAACAGATAGTTGCTTGTTTTCATGCATAAGAGTAACTTTTAAAATCAGGTGTCATTACCGGTTAAAATAAGGTACTCTGTGACAGAAACTGTGTGATGATTGTGAATGAGCCACAGATTAGAGAGAATTTTTAAACTCTCGTTAACCAAAGAAAGCTAAGAGATTTAGGTTCTATAGCCATATATTCAGTATTTTCATTATTTTTGTTATGTTTTTAAGATAACCATATTTCAGATTTTTAGTGTATCACACCTTATAATTATATTTATTTATTAATTTATAGTCAGGGAACGTAGGCCCATAGATAGATACCTTAAAGTCTAACATATATACAGATTATAATGTGTTTATGGAGGTGTTTGGCGAAAAATGTATGGCAATAGACTCCATGATGTCGCCTACCATCTATAATAATTGTCTGAGCACATATGCATCTAGTGAAAATTATAATATAGTTGTGGATATTAATACCACAGTGTAATAAAAAAAATATTTATTTTATCGATCTTTACAAAATAGATTTGCTTTTAAGTTATATAAACAACTTCGATCAGTCTTTGGCTGAATGTTACTACACCCATAGCCATTAGAAATAATTCGTATGTTTTCCAAACCAGTAAAATTAAAAGTCCTTTTTAAAGTAAATATATTATACAAAGGTATCCGTTGAAATCTAATGACTGTAAATGAAATTATAAATTACGCCAAGAATTACCGTGTATGTCAATATTTTTTGTGCATTTGGGCCAATTTGAGCAATCTCCTTTGATATAAGTATGTAATTACAAAGCAATCTTCTCGGTTCTCCGCAGAACCGTCTCAAGACTTGATCTGAAATTGCATGTAAATTTTCTTGCATCTTCTTTCGGTGTAGGTACACTTAACATACACAGTTCATTTAAGCGTTTATCGAACATCATCAACTTCGACCACGTTTTGAGGACCTCTCTATATTGCTCGTGGTGCAAGACAGTGCCAAAGCAATTAGTATGACTTTTTTGGTTGCAGGAAAAAATGTTTTCGCCTTCTCTTAACAACTCCACAGAGTTCTGTTTTCTAAGGTGTTCTTTTGGTATACCTTCATCTTTCCATCATTTAGACTACAGTTTGGCTTTATTATCCGTAGTATCGACTGGAACTTTGTGTTTTCTGTTTGAATTCAACCAATGACATATTCAACATAACACTAGGATGCAGCATCATCAAACCGAAGGAAGGCATATATTTATCAGAAATCGATGTTCCAATGCCGATGTAAGGGAATCCAAACACGGGATGATCGATCGCTTCCAAAAATAGCATGGAGTCTCAGCAGGATGATTGGACCGATGCCATTGGCGCGGGATATGTAAATCGGTTCCAGAGGCAGCTGCAGTTTCCGAGGAAGTGTCGAAAACATTTTGGAATTCCTGATCCGCGTTGCTGCGATGCTCCTTTAAGCAAGACACCATTCTTTGTATACGCTTCTTTCATGTATACATGTCGATTGTATTTGATTGTGGGGCATTGGCAAGGGGTTCCAATTTTCCAGAGTATATTCCTATCAAACGAGCAGCTTCTAATTTCGTAAAAGGCAATGCTATCATGTTTTTGGTAACTAAATATATCGGCAGGCTGAAAGTGGATTTATTGCTGGGAAATCTCTGTGTTTTATTTATTTTTATTTTATTTTATTCTTCTTTACCAAAATACAGTAAATGGCGGACTTAATGCCATAGGCATTCTCTACCAGTCAACCAGTAAGGGTGTGGGAGACGAATGTTATGGCGATAGAGTGCGAGCTACTAAAGTTATAAAAACATATAATATTATCCTACTTAACTTAACTATACTATAATAAACGATAAATAAATATTATATAATAATCAAATATCATAAATACACATATAAATATATATATATATATATATATATATATAATAAACATACACATATAATTATATACATATAATAAACTAGTTAGAAATAACAAATTATGATGTTACAGATGACTGAAGATTACAGAAATATTAGGTCGACAGATAGTGTGCACGTACTAGATTTTTAAACTCCAACTTACTACGAGCACTGCGAATATTCAATGGCAAAGCATTCCAGAGACGTATAGCCGTAATGGTGAAAGATTTGGAGACGAAACCAGAATGGTGAAAATGGGTTTTGAGGGTAAGGTGCCTACAAGAGCGAAGATCACGCGGTGTAGAGGGTCCCAGAAACTGAAACCTAGATTTCAAGTATTCTGGGGCACGTGGATCGTATAAAATAGTGAAAAGCATGCACACAATTCGGAGATTTCTACGGTCACGTATGGACAGCCACTTGAGTTCGTTTCTATAGTGAGAGATATGGTCGTACTTACGCAAACCGAAGATAAAGCGAATACCGTTATTGAGCAAACGATCCAGTTTTGAAAGAAGGTTTTGATTGATGTCAGAATAGCAGACGTCAGCATAGTCAAGGATAGGAAGTACGAGAGCCTGTACGAGCGTAACCTTTGTACTGGAAGGGAGAAAGAACTTTAATCTGTACAGAGCCCTAAGTGTGTTTATAATTTTACGGCAAACTTCATTAACTTGATCTTCCCAGCTGAGCGAACAGTCTATGAGTAGACCCAGATCCTTGACACTAGCTCGAAATCCAATTGAAGTACCATTATACAGTAACGGTTTTAGTGAACCTAAATCCAGAAGGGCCAACTGTCGAGAGCTCCCTATTATGATTGCTTGGCATTTTGCTGGATTTACAGAGATACCGTAACAGTTGGACCATTCCGAAATCCGATGGAGGTCATCATTAAGGCATGCCAGGGCCACATCTAAATCATTTTTGTCGGCATGAACATATAGTTGAAGATCGTCTGCATACAGATGGTAAGAGGAATGAATCATAGTTGTGAGAAAGTTGATAAACAACGAAAAAAGAAGAGGAGAAAGAATACCGCCCTGTGGAACACCAGCAATGAGTTCGCACCAGTCCGAAATGGTCTGGTCTACCCGAACTGCCTGTTCGCGTCCACGAAGATATGATGAAAACCAGGTCCCTACTGAAGAAGAAACTCCCAGATGTGAAAGAATTGCCAGGAGAATATCATAGTTAACCATGTTGAATGCATTTGAGAAATCAATGAGGACCATAACAGTTAACTGCGATTTCTCCATACCGTTGCGAATGTCATCCAGGACATTGATAAGGGCAGTAGTTGTACTATGTCCAGGACGAAACCCAGATTGTAATGGGCTAAGAATTTTGTTGCGAAAGATAAAAGAGGAGAGTTGATTGTGGACAGCAGCTTCTAAAACTTTTGAAAGAAAGGGAAGTATAGATATAGGCCGATAGTGGCTTAGAGAGGAGGGACTATTTATTTTAGGGAGAGGGGTAGTGAGTGCTTTTCGCCAGATAGAAGGAAAGGTACTAGAAGAAAGTGAAAAATTGAGAATTAAAGTGAGACTCGGAAGTATACATTCTAATATAGGTATAATCATATTTCTGCCAATATCGTCACAACCCACTGCCTTGGACTTTATTGAAAGGACAATCTTGCGGACGTCTTCTTCAGTTAAAGGACGAAAACAAAATAAATCACTTGTTGAGGAAGCCAAGGAAGTGATAGAGGAAACAGTAGAGAGCATAACAGAAGTAAATAAGTGTTTTCTTACGAACTTACACTTCTAAAATATAAATTGATGTCAAAGTTAATATTTTTTATGAAATAAGTTACGGTCTACAGCTCTTTATTTCTTCAATATCAACCAATATTCCAAGGCACCTCTTTTGGAGCAAGAAAAGTTGATTGACATTGATGCTACTACCCTCTACAATTACCCCTTAAGACAACCACGCATGAGCATAGGCATAATAAGCAGCAGTAGATGTTTTTAAATCAGTACATTTCTTTAGTTCATAGAGAGCATATACACATTTTGATATTTTACCGACAAGCTTTTCTACATGGCATTTTCAGTTAATATTTGTATCAATTGCCATTGTAACACACATCAAACTTTAAAGGGAGCCTTTGGCGAGGATGAAACAGCATGAATAGTAGTGAATTAGTATTTGAGATGTTTAACTGGAGATCATGTTCCTCAAACAATCTACCTACTACCGTTAAACATGTGAATTTCTTGCGTAAGTTGTTTTGAGTCATTGCCAGAGAATATCAAAGTAATGTCATCAGCGTCCAATATGCTTTGTCTGTTTAAGTACCTTGGTAGATCATTAATGTATATCAAAAACTGGAAACAACCTAAAACACTTCCCTGTGAGACCGAGTGTTGTATTTTTATTTTTTGGGAACTTACAGTAGTTTTTGTGTTTTTGATTTTATCATAGTACTCGATGTTCACTAGTTGATGAAGAATAATTGTATAATGCCCTATACTTATGCAGGATGTAAGTAATGGGTTAAGGAGATAAGTAAATTAAAAAAAAAACTAACCAAGGGTTTGACTATAAACGAATATACTCACTAGTCCTCGTATAATTCCTCCTCCTCCCCCTCCTCGAAGAATTCGGAGTCCGAGTTCGAGTAGGATTCATCATAGCTGTGACTTCTTCTGTAAAATGTATCAACACATTGTCTACAAAAATCAGTAACTAAAAACACATTATATTGAATCACTTCAACTCACACACCTTAAAACATTACAAAATGTCGCTATTATCCATACTACACTCGGCGTCATAAAAATCACACCTCCGTGTAAATAACTTGCAAGCCTTATTATAATAACGCTTGAAAGTTATTTTCGCGGATGTGCGATTTTTTTGACGCCGTGTGTATTACTATAAATACGAAAGTGTGTCTGTCTGTCTTTTCTCATCATGCTTAAACCGCTGAACCGATTTAGAATCAATTTAGTATACATAATAGTTTGAGTCCTGGGAAAGGACATCGGATAGTTATTATCTCAGAAATCATCTTTTAATGGGGGTGAACATAAGGTTGGAAGTTTGTATCAATTATATTAAATACCCTACGACCTAGGTATACCACGTGCGCTCAAAATGTGTCCCAATCAAGAAGTGCTTGAACACTTCATGGTTCACAGACAGGCGCGGACCGTTGAAAAGTTAAGTTGCCACAGAGTTTCGTGAAAACTTGCGAAAAAAATACTTATAGTATGTAAAGTGTCGTTTGTTTAAATAATGCCTTATATTGTTCTTGATTACGCGATCATTTTACGGAGGTCCATGGATCGTCCAATGTACCTTCTGGGCAGGTTTCGGGCACGATTTTGTTCGTTTGTATGGGAAACAAAATTTTCCACGTTGACGAAGTTGCGGGAACCCACCTTTTACTACCCAACTAGCACACTAGTGGAAATAGCAGCCTATTTTGCAACTTTTAGTTGTACAATAGCGCTTTAGGAGTTCACGAAGTAGTTTTAAGTTCTACTGTTGCTTCCGTAACTGCTCATAGCTGTAAATATCACTGGGGGCAGCAAAAACTAAACCAAATGCCACTCTAGTCTATATAAGAGTTCATTTTACAACCTATTTGCCGTCTATAGATTTAAAAGAGAGTTAAAACATGTATGTTAAAGCTTAAAGCTGCTAAAAAGCTTCTATTGCCGCTGCTGTACGCTTCAGAACCGCACAAAGACTTTAATTGCAGACTTAACGGAACTGTATAAATGATATATTTATCACTGTTCTGCCACTGAAAGTTTTATTGCAGAAGTAATTTGTACTTTTGCGCAGACTTAAGTAGCAATTTGATCGACTGTTTTACTAATAGCGACATTAAGGCTTTACAATAGAAGCAGAAGCATAATGGACATTGCCTACTCATTTCGATAGATTCTGCTATTTTTATTGGAGTAATCACATTTTAGAAAATATTTTATTAAAAGAAATATGAATATGAAGGCATGGAAGTTCTTTTATTTTTAAAAAGATTCATTAGAAACAAACAAAAATAATGTGCCAAGTTCGAGTTCAACAAACACAAGCGAGGGTCCCGTAGATTTTGTTTTCTCAATTAGTGATAACGGACCAATTACAGAGGAAAAGTAAGTTGTAGCTTGGTTTGGCATATTATAAAAATGAAGTAAAATAACTTTATTTGTGTAATTTTCTGTTTCTTCTAGATGTAATCATGTGGACTCGGACAGCGAGTTTATTTTAGTCCAGTTTGGTTGTGGAGTTGAATCTTCTATTTTACATATTTTTTTACTTTTTTTGTTCGGCCAGTGTAACACTCCATGTTTTTCCCACGTAGATGGACAGTTGCAAAGTTCTTGTTTATTTTGTTGTTCATTATAAGTTTGTATTATTTTTGTAGGCATTCTGAAAACATGGTTAGACATAGTTAGTGTTAACAGAACGAAAAATATAGAAGCATCTACAAACGATCATCGTATTTTAGGGTTTTCAACGAGTTCTACGGATCTCTAAACAAATTACCATTAGTTGGTTCGATACCTGCAGTAAGTACGAAATAAAAGTGATTGTAAAGACTTGAACTGCATTAGTGGTACAGGTATTACTTGGACCTTCAGAAGAGTGAAACTTAACGCTTTGACGTCCAGAGAGGAAGTATTAAGGTTGAAGTTGCAAGTTAAAGCTGCTTCTCATAGGCGCCATGTTTACAAGACAATCATTTATCATTATTTGAGAAGTTTACAGGTTTTTATCACAATTTGCAGTAAAATATAACTAAATATAGAACCAGCAACTTACTTAATACAAAATGTAATTTTAATATCGTGTAGGTATGTGATATAATATTATTTATATAATAATATTTTACATATTTTACGATATTCTGAAGTAATTATTGAGGCGCGTTAAAAATACTCCAATAATATCAACCATACGCACGATAAACTGATCTGCGTTTTAGCCACTTGCATATAATACAAAATATAACTCAAAAACACTTACCTTCATTTCACTTATTATTTATTTGTATTCAGTAATGTCAGGCACAGGAACAACAGATGTATTTAATAAATGAGAGACAAGGTGAATGATCAGTGATCCTTTATTCGTTCAGTTAAACCTGTCATTCATTCAATACGTGCTACAAAAGCTTCAGTGTGGTGTTAATTATTAGTGGCAGCTCCTGTAGCGCTTTTATGCCACTACTATGAAGTTCTAATAGAACTGTAGGTTGCAAAAATTTGTGCCCCTTTGGCTGCAAAGCGGTTGCATAAGGTCTGCAGTGCACGCTCTGGCGCTTGAGCTTGGCGCCTTTGGGAATAATCAGATTAGCTCCAAAGCTCTTAAGCAACTAGTTTGTGCTAGTTGGGTATACTTAAAACAAAGTCGTCCCTTATGTCTGTAGTTCGCGTTGATGTAAAAAAAACAACAGAATAGATTTTTATGCGCGTTTCTGCATCAGTTAGTAAATTTTTCACATATATAGCTATATTACATACAAATGCCCAACTATACCAATTCAAAGCAAGAGCGGGTGGGTCCCTGATATAAAAACAAAACTCAAATTAAATCGTATTTTCGCATACAGGCTACTCATAAATACATGTGGTATTATAATGTAACTAGCAAACCAGTGAACCAAATGTTCACCAAAACCTGATTTAAAAAAAAAATGTATTTAATTACTTGAGAACTTCGGAGATTTTGTGTGGTTTCGTTTGAAATTCGTGATTTCTCGAAAACCGGAAGTGCTACGTTACTCAAATCCGGTTTGTAGTCTTATCAGACTATTCTTAAGAGCCCTTTTACAAAATTGCGCCTCTCTTGTTTAGGTAAATACGACCGCGAGCGGGTCCGAGTCGCACGAGCGAGACATCGACGCGGCGATGTTCAGTATAGCGCGCTTTACCAAATTGATACTTTAATATGCAATTATTCATACAATAAATGCCATTATAAAATAAAGTTAATTTGAAGTGCTAAGATGGATCCCTACTGTAGCAACGAACGATTCTAGATAAGAATCCTGAGTGGAGCAAAGGATACAAGGATTAAGTTTTTTTACTATTGTGAGAAAATAAATAATATATTAATAGTACCCATTGGTTGTGTTTTGGAAATGACAATAAAGATTAATTATGATTATTACTAATTATTGTAACTTTATATGTATGCTTTATATAACTTGTTTGTCCAATTTTTTTTTATTCACTCAGTAATGTACTAATGGGGCCGTGGTAGCATAATGGTTTAAATGCTTAAAAATAAAATAAAATCATAACTATAAATAGAACTGTGAATCTCTATTCTAAATATATTATTTTGTTGTGCCAATATGTACTTTGGCGGCCCATGAGCTTATACTTGTTATACTTGATCGAAATGCAACATTTTACCGTACTCTAGCTTTTTTTTTACAGACATAAGGGTAGATTGTAAGGAGCTTAAGTTTAAATCGGGGAATGTAGGGTGGTCACAACTGGCCGCTTTATTGGAAAACGCGTTTATAGCTATATCTCCTAAATTTTTGACTGTACGGAAAAAATGTAGTGTTTTTTTGTTTATTACTAAATTCTCTAACTTCTTTCTCTCAAACTCTTTATTGTAACTCTTACCGTTTTTCAATTGTTGTTGTTTATTTGAACATGTTTGTAGTTTTTCCTTTATAAAACCTTAAAAATGTCATTACCTAATTAATAAAAAACGTCGTATACAAGTTATCCGTGATTAAATTCCCTACAAGTTTAGTATATTTTATTTTATTAAATAAATACTTTTGAAGTTAATAGTCGTTAAAGTGCGCAAAAACGGGCATTGAAATGAAATTACAGAAGTATCCGAAAAAATCACTTACTTTCATACAAATTGAAGCTGATGATGATTTGTGTTGGATTATTATCAATTTATTGTAAAAAAGTGTAATAAAAAAAATAGGGGGAAAAAATATAAATATTATAAATAATATTAGCGATGAGAATCAATTGCACGTATACAAAACTCTGATATACTGCGTCATTGCTACGTTAACGACTCATAACTTTAAAAGTATTTATTTAGTAAAAAAAAGGTTTATGCAAAAGTTGTAGGAAAGGAGACCCGGCACTTTTCTTAGAAAAAATGCTAAACTTGTATACAATTGAATTTGGTCTCAAAATAAAGCCAAAATTATTTGCTGCATAAAACTACTTTTGCCTTATTTTTAGTGAATCGTGGAAAGAAGTTATATAATGATTAATATTTTTTGATATGGAAACCCTAAATCTTCAAGGGACAGAATTTTACTTCAAAATATTACTCAAGTGACTGTAAAAACCATGATTCCTTTGCTTTTTCTAAATAATAAACCAAATGTCAATTTGACAATCCTAAAATACAAATAAAAAAATCATTCGCATTTCACATCCGCTCCCGCGTACTGTGCTTGTGAATGTTCTCTGCTGTGATTGCCTTTTTATCCGTTATTTCTCTTGACGACCCGGCTACATATAGAGGTTATATTGACAAACCTACGTATTTGACATTGACAGCTAGCTGCTGATGACAAATATTGCCATACTACGTTACCCAATTATGAAACACAGATAAAAAAATTAAAAAGTATATAACTTTGGCACAAAATGCCGGGTGTCCTTTAATGATGAATAATTTTTTATCAATTAATGGCATTTTAAAGGCTTTAAAGATAAAGCGAAATGTTATAAGCATATTCAACTTGCTTCACTAGCTTTCTTTATGGCTGCATCATTCTTTCGTTTTCTTTTTTGACACAATGGTAAGCAGGAATTTTACGCCCCATTGTAAAAGCTAATAACAAAAATATTAGTTGAAGCAATGATAATTAATAACTAGGGAGGTACTTATAATAATAAAAAATAATACGGTTGTGGAAATTTACATACAGTCAACGATTAAAGTTTTGCGGTCGTAGTATATCCAACCAGTTTTACGATGAATGCACTCGTAGCATCGCTCGGGACGCTTGCGGTACAAAGCGACATAGGTCCAACCTCCAAAGGCGCTGGCGCCGTACTGAACGGCGCCTAGATTTGCACTAGTATATATTGCATTTTACGGGTGATGTTCAGAGTCTTATAAAATAATAATTAATGAACTTATTATATAAATATATACATATTTCAATAGTTCAATGATTGTAGATTAGTTTTATGAAAGTTTTTTTATAGTAATTCTATTTAATTCAATATCAAAATACGAGGTAAACCTGCGTTATTTTTTGGGAAACTCACGGAGGTTAGATGTTTTTTTAATAATTAATGAGATGGAAAATCAAGATTCTAATACATTACGTTGCAACAAAAACATATTTCTGATGTAGTAGTAATTAATTTGATCTAATTTATTGAACATTATTGTGAGATTTAGGCGTTTTAAATTGTGCATATTATCGTTTTTTCCGTAAACTAGCTCGATCGAGCTAGAACCGGTAGATCGCGGTAGAACGATCAGTACAAAAAAATGAAAATACTATTTGCAAATATTCTACATTAATTTTCAATAGGAAGACTAAATCTACTGTTTACCTCTATTGGAAGTAGTCAAAACCTCTTCTAAGGGGGCAAACGAGGCGCTCAATAATTGCGATTTATTGCAAAAAATGTGAAAGGGCTCTTAACTTATAACTTAAATATTCTCTTTATCTATCTCTTACGGTTTGGCCGCTGAAACAGCACCACAGACAGACGGACGGACTTGTCTAATAGATAAGAGATATTTTATGCCGGTATTTTACTATGTTATTCGTTATATAACAGATCATGTCATGTTTACAGTTTGTATCTAGTGCGGGGCATTAAAATAGCGGTAATATTAGAAACATTTATGTGTAAACAGTCTGTTTAAAAATGAAGTTGTTCAAATATTTACGAAGATATAATTTCCTTTACACTTAATTATATTTAAATTTTATTGCAAGGTTTGATAAATGTTCTGAGTTTCAATGTCTATTAAAAATATCTGATGGTGACTATGTGGCCGCCCGATAGTGTTAAAAATCATTAAGGTTTATTGTTAATTAAATAAAACTACACTTCTGGACACATCTATTGGCCCACCTTGTATTTTCAGTTTCGTTTGGTCCTGGCTAAAATTTTATATTAGGTCGAGCAAAAAGTTTTTATGCAGTTTTGAACCTGGCACATTCACAATTTCATTCAATAGTCTTTTTTTGAATTTCGAACACGGAATTTAAAGAAACAAAAGACAATTTGGAGCCTGTTTGTTGATATCAAACAATCGAATACTAAGAAAACTTGGTCTTATTGGTTTACTTGGATTTAATTCTTGAAAAAGTGATTGATATCTTTGGTTTTGCAACAAACATTACTAATTCTTAACATTAAGGTGAGGTTCTATCAATAATCTATGGATACTTCACCTGAAGTCGCCGCCCAAGCTGTGGCACTTATTCAGGCCGGACACAGCCAAAGAAACGTGAGTGCTCAACTTAATTTAAGTCGATCTGCGGTCCGAAATGTTTATCGGAGGTACCTAGAGACTGGCGGCTTTGTTCGTCGCCAAGGAAGGCCACGATCTCGGGTCACAACTGAAAGGCAGGACCGATTCATCGTGACGACCAGCTTGAGAAATCGTCATCTTACCTCCATTGAGATACAAAAACAAATTCGCGACTTCCACGGAGTATCTGTGAGCGCTCGAACTGTTCGGAGAAGGTTAAAAGAACGCGATATGGTACCACACAAGCCAGCTAATGGGCCCAAACTAACGCGAGCCCACCGAACAGCGCGCCTTCATTTCGCACGCAGTCATTTAAATTGGACACAGCAAGATTGCAGCCGTGTACTCTTTTCTGATGAGTCTAAAATTGTGTTACATGGCAATGATGGAAGGAAGAAGGTATACCGACGTAAGGGAGAGCGTTTCGCAAAATGCTGCTTTGAAGAGAGGGTTGCTTATGGCGGTGGCTCATGGACTGTTGGGGCGGTATATCCGCGAGCGGCAAAACTCAACTTGAGGTTGTTACAGGACCACGGCTGCCAACATTAAATGCTGAAAGGTACATTCGTGACTGCTTAGAACCTCACGTGATACCATACGCGGACTATGTGGGCCCAAATTTCCTTTTTATGCATGATAATGCAAGGGCCCATGCGGCCGGCATCGTCAAGGAATATCTTCGGGATGTGAACATCACAGTTATGGACTGGCCAGCCAGAAGCCCAGACATGAACCCCATTGAGCACATGTGGGACGAGCTAAAAAGACGTGTTAGGGCTCGTCAGACAGTTGCCCAGACGATGCAGGAGTTGAAAACTGCCATAGAAGAGGAATGGGAGATGATCCCTCAAAATTTCATAGAGCGGTTGATAAACTCTATGCCTAATCGTATTAGAGCTGTGGTAGATGCCCATGGAGGCAACACGCGTTATTAAATTAAACATTTATTTGATAAAACATGTTTTTTATTCAAAAATCAATTGCCTTTAACAAGGCGCATATCCGACTTGTTAGGCGTAGCTCCATGTCGTATGGTATTCTGAATTCAAATTTAAAACAATACGATCGAAAAAGATGGTAAAATGTATCAGGTTTAAAACTGCATCAACAGTTTTTGTTCAATCTAGCAATCATATTTCGGTAGGGGCCATCGAAACCTAAACTCTAAGGTGGGCCAATACGGGTTAATGCACTAAACTTTATTTACTAATGAGTGATGTGCGTGAAAACCTAAGAAACAAATATTTATTGTTAATTATTTAATCATACAAAAACGCATACCGGCTGGTCCCCGCGCTGAGCTGACACGCTAGTTTTGTCTCGAGTTCTGTAAACAATACAGCTTCTTGAACTATTCTATAGTAAACTTATATTCATTTTTTTAGATAATCCACGGTATTTGTGTATGCACAATCAGCCAATTTGATTGCTGACCCACCATAAGTTTGTTACAACCAATTCAAAACAATAAGTCGTAAGTCACTGTGACACGAACTTGTTATTTTCTGAATAATCATAATTGATTTGACGTAAAAGATTTTGCCGCCTTCCCTTGACATAATTTTGACATTATTATTTGGCATTTTGCCCATGGACTAAAGATTTCCCAATTAATTTACCAACGTTTTTTTATAATGTCAAGATATCGAAAGAGTTTGTTTTACATTTACAATTTCATAAATTATTTCAAAATTCAAACTACTATTACAATTTTATCTATATCATGATCTATTGCATTGAAAATAATCAATAAATAATATCCGTATTGACACATTTTTCTGGTTATTAGAAAGTCCTAAATGCAATAGGGAAGATGCAATATTTTTATTTTTGTTTTCATTTTAAAGAATTCCATGTAGAATAAACCACAGATATATTTAAAAATTAAAACATTGTGATTTATCGGTAAAATGCGGTTTAAATTGACAATTTAAATTTTCGCGCGAAAACGAACCTATGGTTGCGATGACTACTATTAGATGTATTCTTTTGAGGTCTTTTAATATGCTGTATCTGTACTTGTTATTGTAAATAATAGATATAGTCGTTAATTTATAAGTTCATTTAATCAACATTTAATGTTTCCGATGCATGTGGTGTTTTCCTATAAATGTTTGTTACACTCATGTAATTAGTCGCAAATGTTTAAATTTATTTTATGTAAGTGATAACAAATGTTGGAAGACCTTTTAAATAAATAAAAAAAAATAAAAAAAATGACGTCGCTCCTGTCTGTCACTGGTCGTAATTGTTCGTTGCTGGCTTTTAAATTTTCATACTTTTGCATATTTTTTCGACTTTCGAAATATTTTTGAAGTTATACTTCTTTAGGCGCGTTATGAAAAAATGATGAGAGTGAAATTTTAAGATGCGCGCGCATCACTGTAACACAAAATTTTAACAGCATGCTCGCTAAAGCGACCAACTTCATGCGTTACTTTTGTGTTTACCGCACATTAAGAAAATCTACCAACAAAATAGAAATAAAATCTCTATTTAGTTGGTGCTAACGACTGCATTGTGAAGGCCTATCAAAAGTATTTATTAATCTGGAACAACGGAACCAAAGCGCGATTCAGGAGACTACAGCGCCATCTCTTGACCATTGGTGTAATAGAACCAAAAACCACATCTTTATTTTTTGTAATAAAGTAACAGTTATAGGTATTCATATTTATAATATCAAAAGTATTTATTAATCTGGAACAACGGAACCAAAGCGCGATTCAGGAGACTACAGCGCCATCTCTTGACCATTGGTGTAGTAGAACCAAAAACCACATCTTTATTTTTTGTAATAAAGTAACAGTTATAGGTATTCATATTTATAATATTTATCCACATGTTTCTAGTTTGTATATTCGGAATACGTGTTTGAGTTTCATACAAGTGCAAATCACATATGTTCTAATAAATTATATTCAGTAGCGATTTTAATTGAATATTTTGATTATTTATTTATTTTTTCAAATTAAAACTGAACTTTATTGACTGTGTCCTTTTCCAGACTTTTTATTAATTTATTGTAATTAATTATTTGCATGCAATTAAAAACTAATTTTAAACGATGCCAAAGAAGGATAACTTCTCACGCGCCTACATAAGTACACGCACCCATTTTTTTGAAAAATTTTAAATGGACTATCCATCAACATCATGTGATCATAACAATACCACTAATATTCCGAAAAAAAGCCGTGTTGACTCATGTTTTGTGCCAATCTACTTCAACAAAGTTCCCAAATAAATTGTTTTTGACTGGGACTTCTGACCCAAAACTGAAAAAAAAGTGGTTTCAAGCTGCGAAGAGAAATGACAATTATTCGATGCTGAGAAGATCACTTTGACGTAAGTCGGCGAATATACTTGTTATATGCTTAATTAATCTGCTTGTACGTAAAAACGCATTAGTAACCTACCTAATACTTACAAAACCTGTCTATAACATATTTTTAATTTTAGTTGGAGAATGACGTCGAAAATTAGATAAAGTTTAAAATGTGTGGCACAATCTTCACATTGGGTACGGCCAGAGTGCACTCAGATTCAGATTCAGAAAACAAGCGCGAGAAATAAACAGTGTAGTTTAAGCAGGGTGGCCATAGTGGCAGCAGGCAACCTGCTTAAACTACACTGTATATTTCTCGCGCTTGTTTTCTGAATCTGAATCTGAGTGCACTCTGGCAGTACCCATTGGCAGGACTGAACCAAGCTTTGCGTTTCATTTAAAATAACTGTAACACGATAATCTTCTTTACGTACTTTATGCTCCGGAGAACTCGACCTTTTACTGTACATAATTTTCCATCTCTTTTAATTTGGACATAGCCGATTGCATTATCGCCGTAAAATTTGTAGAAGCCGCTGAATAAAATACGAAGTTTAACAACTACAATTTTTACATACCGTAGTAATTTAGTCCCTTTCATTTCTTCACTTAAAAACTCTGCACTTTGGACAAAAAAAGTTATAACCATGTCAACGCTAACTCTTGGTAAATTCCTGGAGTCTGCTTTGATAAACGCAACTTCCATTTTTATTAAATGTAAAAAAACGCAATAAATATTCCCATAAAATAATATTTACTTTAACAACCATAACCTCAAAGAAGTTGTCATAACAGGAGTGACGTCACTAAACGCTGATTGGTGTTTTAAAATACGTTCCGTTTTAAGTATTTTTAATTCGTAATAATTGTTAAAAAACAACATTATGTAAAATAAAAACGTTGCAGTGGCATTTCTTTTATATTTTTTTAACATTTTAATCATAAAATTTTCATAAATATTATATATGCATCTTCCCTATTACACATTCGCTAAAAAGGAAACTTGTCTATTTTGACATTTCTAAGCGAATTATAGGGCGAGTGAGTCTGGAATCAATTGGTTCGATCGTACTTAATGTTATGAAACTCTTTACAGGTCCCAAAACTGTGCCACATGGAAGAAAGTACCCAAATACTCTACATAGAAAGATTTAATTTTTATTTAAAAAAAAATACAAACTGCATTCAAAGAATTAATAAATAAATCGCCTGTCTGAACCGGGGGCCAATCGCCTAACGGAAATGCTTTGGAAAACGCTAACGCTTACGATTTTATTTTGTTATTTCTATCCGCCTGAGGTATTCAAATGCCTTTATGCCAAAATAAACATCAATCGAGCGAGCGAGACAGAACTATACGCTTCAACGCAGCGTATTGTTGTCCTTTTCTTGCTTACAAAATGGCGATTACGTAAATAATATTCACGACAAACCGCGATTTTTAAGAAAAAAAGTTTTCACAGTTTTACGAATGAAAAGTATTGCCGAGGTATTTAATTTTGAACTATTTGTGTTTTTTGTAAAAGCATCGAAGGCATTGTTATATCTTTATAACACAGAATATACGCAATATTGTTATATTGAGTAAACATGCAGCGTGTTTGAATGTCAAATTGTGACTAAAGCGAATTATGGTCGTGGACCACAATTTGCCGCGAATCGTGTCTTCCCTTTTTGTTTTAATCTAAGGCTGGATGTGAGATAAAAAAAGGTGGTTATTTTACTGTACCGATCGAAACGCTCAATTACATACAATTATTGCTCCTTAGTAACAGAGTATCTTTAATTAAAATAAGATCATAAAATTTTGGTGGGTATAATGAATTGCTTTTTCTCTATGTCGTGCTAACTACAACGTCGTGCGTACTTCATGTACAATATTATTATCATTTCAAAATACATATTACGAAAAAGTTGACACTTAGGATATTTTTTCTTTCAACCACGTACTAACTACATTATTGGCATTAAATTAATGCAATTTTTTATATTGACTCGGTTCAGGCAGGCGAAAAATTCTTTGAAAGCAGTTTTGTATTGTTTCTAAAATAAAAATTAAATCTTCCTTCTGCAAAAAAATCTATTTTCTGTATTCAAGGAACTTTTCTCCATATGGTAGTTTTGGGACAACCTGTACAAATTAATCGTAGTTCTTACCACTATGTTATAACTTTAAAGGTTTTCACAAATACCTATCTAAGTATATTCAGATTAATATCACAATTAAGAGTGTGTAACGTGAATACTGAGATGTAAAAATTAATTCATTTGACTTTAATGAGACAAAGAAACTTTATGATAATTTACGTATTTATTATTAGGTAGTTTAATATATACAAAAAATCTTTAAAGACAATTCAATGAAGCTGTATTGTTCACAATAGTATTTCTTACTATTTAGGTATAGGTACCTAATCAGTAATAGGAAATATGCATGATTTTATTTAGTACTTTACATCCCCTTTCTACAAATATAAAAAACATCAATAACGTAAAAATAGTATGGTGGCTAAAAAAATGTTAAAAATAGCCACCTTGAAAGGGCATTTTGGACGCTCCCTATTTTTGAACGCTTAGGCGTCACGTCACAATTCATCAACCTATAATCAAGATCAATGAACTTACAAGATACTGACATTTTGCGTTCCATACCACTGCACTGCGGATGGTAGTTGCAACCTACGCCAATCAAATAGACATTAAATTTCATACATTTTTGGCAAACATTTAAATGTCAGAGTGAAAAGTTGCAGTCGGTGTCTAGGTCAAAGATATTAAACGCCTAAGCGTTCAAAAATAGGGAGCGTCCAATCAGTTAACATTTGCTTTTGCTCCTCGTCTAATATGGAGGAATAATTTAATATTGACTTACCTTCTCTTGACTTTAGCAGTTCTTCTCTTTTTCTTTTCATATCTTCAGTGAGATTCAGGACCATTTTCTCAATGAATGAATCAAGCACCAAACTTTTACATTCTGATGATATTACAGATCTAAAAAATTCAAACAATATAATTTCACTTCTTGTTATAAAGACAGAAGTGAGAGTATTTGTACTTCTTAATTTTATTACCTGCATATAGGGCAGTCCTTTTTCTTTTTTTTCCACATAGTAATGCAATATTTACAAAATGTATGTGAACAGTTGAGAGTTGTTGCTCCTACAAAAAGTTCAGCACATATACTGCATTGTAATTCGTTTTCCATCAGTTCTCCAACTTCTGCAAGAGCCGTCTCTTTTGAAGAGCCCTCCTTAGCAATATCTACAGTAACCATATTTTCAAGTAAAGCGTTTTTCTCGGTTTCGACTGACTTAAGCTGATTTTTTACCTGTTAATTTTATGCACATATTACATATACACTAAAAATAAAACCGACATCAAAACATAAATGGAAGTAAAAAATAATATTCCCTTCATATGAGTCAGGCCAAGATTGCTACATGGAATATTCATTTCATTTCCAGTGGCTATGTTTCAATGTGTACTTTTTAGTTCCACTTTCAACTTGGTCGTTTTTATTTTTGTTTAAAAATAATTTTTATTTCATCCATTTTAGTGAAAAGCGCCACACACAAAAAACGCACAAAACAAGCTGTACACAAAATATCGCGAAAATTACAGTGTTAGAAAATTAAAACTACTTGGTCAAACTAAATAGAATTTTAGTGCGACCAAATGGATAAGAAATCTCGCCGTAAACGGTGTACACACATGAAAAAAAATAAACAAACCGGCCGAATTGAGAACCTCCTCCGTTTTGAAGTCAGTTAAAAATTAGATAAACAATGGGCCTTATTCTTACATGATTTCATAAACTTTAACTTTTCTTAATTGTATGTCTTTTTCCTCCTTATACTTAAAATTTAAAGAGAGAATGAAAAGGAGAGACTGATATCAAATTTAGTTTTCGGTTATGAGAATCATGCCAGAAATAGGACAAATGAATGGTAAGATGTTATTATTACTTTTTATATAGTAGTAGTTTCAGGTCATGACAGTTGCTTTTTATATAGTTACTTACACTTTCTAATTGTTCTTGCAGTGAGATGATGACATGGCTGGATTGCTCCGTTTGTTTTTGAATTCTGTCCGCTGCTAATGCAGCTAATTCTGTTTCCCTAGTTGCCACGTGATTCTAATGGCAAATAAAAGCATATTATTTAATAACAGTACCAGTGCGACTAATTTTGTTTGTACAATTTTTTTTATTGCGGTTTTACAAGAAATTGAATTACATAAGATGTACCAAGCAAATAGTATCTAGAGTGGATCCCAGTTGCGAAGATGGCTGATGCAGCAGAAAATCATTCAGCTTAGGACATTCGCATCTTTCAGTCGACAAAAGCTACTGTTATTTTTCTGAATGTCTTCTGTAAGATGGAGGTTACTTCCCCAGTCAGGTGCAATATACATTAGAACTAGTTGTTTGGGGTTTCACCCACTTGGATTTGAGGAATAAGGTTAAAGGGAGTCCTTAATAGATTAATATAGATGTGTATATTCTGTTCAGATTTTTTTGGAATTTTTGAATGGGAACAATTACTTCATACGCAATTTTTGCCTAATTTTAACTGTTTATGCAGCGCACTCAACGGGAGCTATAAAAAATAACATTTTATCCGTTTTTGCAATATATTTCATTAATGCTCCACTCGCCTTAGTTGCAGCGTGATTATATATTGCCTGTCCTTTTGAGTCCAAGGAAAGGGAATAGAATAGTTTTATCCCTTTAAGGGGGTGGAAGTTTATATAGGAAACCAATGTTTTCCACGCAGAGGAAGTCACGGGCAACCACTAATAGTAAGTTATAAATAAATATAATTGCTCACTTAGGAAGAAAAGACTCGGGAGGTAAAGTTGCTCACGTCCGTAGGACATACCACCTTCTCCAAGGCCCACCCTACACGTGCACCCTGGGTGCCAAATGAGCAACAACGCCGAGCCACAGGTGGCGGTAAATAACCTGTTATTAGGCGTTCACAATACTTGAAGGATTAAATCCCTTCTAAAAATGTGACTACAGTACTTTGGGAAAGTATTGTGAGTATGACCCCAACCTCTTATTATTAATACTAGTGGCCCGCCCTCGCTTCGCTTCGGTGTAGAGCTGTAGTGTAAACTATAGTTTTTGTTCTCAGGCTTGTGCAATAAACAATGACTTTATTTATATAATTACACGTGTTATTGTGAGTCAACCATAAAAGATAGACATATGCTGTTGCGGGATATTTTTTAGACAATTTTATGTAGAATATTTCCGTCATACATGATTTCTATGTAACTTTAACCATTAAGGCTGCACACGCGACGGAAGCTTAAAAAATGATGTAACTTCTCCCGTTTTCCCAACATTTCCCTTCACTACTCTGCTCCTATTGATTGTAGCGTGATGAAAAGTATGCTATAACCTGCCCAGGAGTATGAAGAATAATTGTACCAAGTTTCGTTAAAATCCGTCGAGTAGTTTTTGTTTCTATAAGGAACATACACACAGACAGACAGACAGACAAAAAATTTACTGATTGCATTTTTGGCATCAGTATCGATCACTAATCACCCCCTGATAGTTAATTTAAAAATGTATTTCATGTACAGAATTGACATCTCTACAGATTTATTATAAGTATAGATAAGCGACAGTGATTTGTCATGCGATCTGGCAAATCACCGGCGCACGCAGGTACCCGGGCCGGGCAGAGTGTGAAATTGGTTACCAAAGACCCCTCGGGAGTAGGTGACCAGGTTCCTGGGTCGGTGAATGCATCTGGAAGCTGAAAATTTATTTTAGCAAGCTTTCAATCCCAGCCTTTTTATAACGAGACCCAGATCTTCCTCATTGGAAAATATCCCCAGGCTCACTAAAACCTCATATGAAAATGGCCACTTTAACACATCATCAACAAATACTACCCACCCACGGTGATGTCTTCCTTCATGGCAAAGGGTTCCCACCCAACGCATTCTAAACAGGAAAAAGTTAACAAATAGCCCACCCATGCAGGTAACTATACAAAATAGAATAGATATCAACAATAGATATGATGGACTACCTATAGACCTCACAAATGATCATGAGGAGCCATCAAAAAGTCAAACGTATCCTAAAAAAGTTGATAAACCTCCACCAATTATCTTATATGGAGTAGAAGATTTAACAAAATTGCTAGAATTTTTAAATAAGTCTGTTCCAAATGGGATTTACTCATATAAAATAATTAATAAAGATCAAATCAAATCTACACAATACGACGCTAAAAAACAGCAATTCTCAAAGAAATTGATATAATGGGAAACAATATTAGAGGTGAAATAATATGTGCATACTCTAGTAGAAATAAAAAAAAAATGTGTGTGTCAGCTCCGACGCACTACTGGAGTTTACTCCTTAAGTTCGATAGTCTAACCAGACGCAAAAAGAGTTTATTTAACTTAAAAAAGATTGATACTGTATGAAAGGGTAAATTAACAAATTAATGAAAATAATATACATATATAAATATATATTTATTCATTTCATATACATTTATTATATCTAATCGACGAAATATTTTACATTAAACTTTTTACAATAGTCAATTTCAGATGTGCATGAATATATCATTATGAATGTTGATAAATTATGTAATTATTATTATCAGACTATTATAATTTTTTTAAATATTAATTAAATCAACATTGTCTGCATTATTAATTACAGTGACAAGTGGTTTATGGTAACTAAAATAAGACACATGGACGTTCGTAGATACGTGGTTCACGAATCTTGAAAATACCGCATCAATGGTTGTACCATACCTCGTTGTCCCCATTGCTCTATCAGAAACAATATCTAAATTCAGTTCAGATTTAAAAAAAAATATTAGTGTCAATCCGTCATCTTTGTTTGTCAAAGTTGCGCGACATAGGATGCGCACCAAAAACGTAACGAGGTCATTCATCGATAGATTTTACTCCTCACATTTTTCTCATACCGGGCCCCTTATATATGCAAATCGATTCTTAAGGAGTAAACTCCAAAAACCACTCAACATTTTCTTTGTAAATATAGAACCCGGCCCAAATAACCCACAAGCAAAAAGCATAAAATATAATTTCAAGAAAAAACAAATGAAATACCACAAATCACGAGATGCCAAAAATATAGGACATACGATAAACAATTTAATGCGGCCATTCCGATGTGCTAAATGCGCAAAGGGACACAGAACCATTAATTGTCCGAAAAAGATCGTAACACACCAGCTACTTGCACACTGTCTTGGTGAATACCCCCTCAACTACAATGAGATGCCCCGTTTACAAAGAAATTCGAGCAAGAAAAACTATACAACCACTTAATAAAATGAATAGAACAACAAACATAAGGCAACAAAATAATAACGTAACTCCTTTTAAGCCACACGTTTCCCACCACTACAGCCAAGCAGCTTTGTCAGACTTCATTCACAAAAACTACCTACCCCAGACCCAAAGAGTACTAGCCATTGGAATAAAAAATCCAGAAGAGAAGTCTCAGCCAACAAACTTTACTAGAGCAAATTATAATAAAACAATCTGAGAACATAGATATCCTCATACAACAAATGGGAAGGCTACTAGGCCTTTTGACAATCGTAGCTCAGTATGAGGAATTAAATTTTTACGCATCTCCACATGGAACATAAATGGCTTAGCTCCCAATAAGCAAGAAGTAGAAGTTTTCTTAAAAATAATAATATTGACATACTTTTGATTTCTGAGTCTCATTTAACTGATACTAAAATAGTAAATATAAAAGGCTACAATGCATAGTATACTAATCATCCTGATGGAATGTCACATGAAGGAGCAGCCATAATCTGTAAAGAGAACATAAAACAGCATTCAAAACTGAAGATGACATAGAAAATGCAACTTGGAATACAACAAACTTAATCCAAAAAGCAACATGGCTATCTACCCTATATATAAAGTATAGTGGCCCGCCCTCGTTTCGCTTCGGTGTAGAGCTCTAGTGTAGTTTATAATTTTTATTTTTAGGCTTGTATTATGACTTTCTTTATATAATTATAAACCTTCCGTGAGATATAATTACTAATATCATAAAACTGGAGTGTTTAATTGTTTGGTTGAACACGCTAATCTCAGAAAATACTGGTCTAATTTCGATTCGTACGACCTTTTTTTATGATGTTGATGTCTTCTATAAAACTTTAGTACATCACTTTGCTCTACTGTCAATGACTTCCGCAGCGTAAGTGATATACGGTTATTTTTTGATATTTTTGTGACACCCTGGGTGACGTTATCGAAGTTTTAGTCTATAGTTCATCAGGGATAATGTAGGATTGTAAACGTAAAATATTTTTCAAATCGGTCCAGTAGATTCGGAGCCTATTCAATACAAACAAACAATCAAATCTTTCCTCTTTATAATATTAGTATAGGTAATGAAAGTTCTCAAAATATAACGATCGACGAACTAAATTCAAAATATGATAACAAACAAACGAAGATTGAGACGCCAGGTGGCAGGTGAGTAGGAACCAGCAGGATAAAAGAGCATTTAATAATGCGAAAAAACAATTAAAGCGTTATGACTGCCACATATGCTGATGCCACTGCATTGCGAGCACATAATAAAGATCCTACCGTGGCATCCATCAAACTCCAAGCACGTTTAAATTGGGGCGTGGTTAAAAAAATGGAGATTCAAAGCTAGTGCTGCTTTCAATCGGTTCATGTAACATTTACATTAAGAGGAGGTAACTATCCAGCGGTGAAACTTGATGGGGCCTTTTTGCCTTAAAACACAAGAGTTTAATACTTTGGAATCCAACTCACAACTCACTTGGAAAAATCATATTAAAGCAAAATGAGATCAGGCAAACGAGAAGCTTAGCAGTATGTATTGGCTGGTTGGTACACAACTTTCACTCAGCTTGGAAAACAAGCTTCTTATTTATAAAAGCATAATAAAACCAGTGGCAAAAATATGGCGTAGAGCTCTGGGGATCAGCTAGTCATTCCAACATCGAAATTCTTCAAAGATTCCAAAATAAATCATTGAAGATCTTGTCCAGTGCTTCATGGCATATAAAACCAAGAAGTACAAGAACACATAGATATTTCTACTGTAAAGCAACAGATACATAAATCCTGCAAGGACCACTGACAAAGATTGGAAGAACATAAAAACCATCTAGCAAATAAACACCTTAAATACTAATGACAGTACCTTGATTATAGAGAACAAAACTAGTTTTTATATAAAGCTGCATTCAATATGAGATGACACATAGTTGGTTGTGTTTGGTTTCTAATTTCTGGAACATCTTCAAACAATTATAGCTAAAATTAGAAAGAAAAATTATCAACAATACCTTCAATTGTTCCATAGCTTTGTCAGAGTTTTCTTGGGCATCTTTCAATTTCCTCTGTATTTCATTTTTTTCTTTGAGCTAAAGCAATAAAATACTATTAAATATAACTATGCTAATAGTGTTAGTTATGTGTTTGATTCAATAAAAAATACTCATCTTAATATCACCACAGACAAACTAAAAGCAATAAGTAAACCTTAGATAATTAAATAATGAATTTAATTCCTGTGTTTTCATGCACACTAATCATTTACTAAAAATATTTTTGAACAGAGACCAAAGCACGGATTTTGGCATCTCCTTAACATATCCTCCTCAAATTTTGTATGGAAAATGCTAGGTAGTTCTGACGTCCGACAGGGGCGCTGCTTAGTTTTATTAGAAACTTCGACTATACAATATGTTACAGAGCTGTCAAAAATTCGTGATGAGCTGTTGCCAAAACATCAAGAAAAATGGAAAAGCTAATAAAATTTTTATTTCATTTCCAAACAAAAAACTCACCAGTTGTTCAATCTTGGCTTTCTCCTCATCAGTAAGCTTCTTCCTCTCTTCACTAAGTATCTGTTCTGCTTGGATTTTTTCTTGTGCTGCTTTTTGGACCTGCTGTTCAAGGTCTTTTCTTATATCATTTAATTCTTGCTGCAGTTCTGTTTCTCTTTGCTTCTTCAATTCTTCCAACTGTTTTAGCTCCTGGTAACAACAATTGATTTAGTAATAAAGATAAGACAAATTTTAAGCTACTGAACATTGCAAATTTACCTTTTCTTTAGCTAATCTTAGTTGCTCAGTTTCGTTTTTAAGCTTCTGTTCCATTTCTTCTTTCTCCTTCAAGCAGGCCTCTTTCTGTTCTCGCAATTTAGCTTCAAGTTTCTCCAACATGTCTTGCTTCGATGAACTCTCTTTGTTCAGTTCATCAAGAAATTCTGTTCTGTCTTTTAGTAGCTTTTCTTTCAGGTTACTATTTTCTTTTAACAATTCTGATTCTGTTTCATGGTGTTTCTGTATTTGATTCTGAAATATTAAATATTATTAACCTGATACTGTGAACACATCCCTATCCCTATTTTTAATGTATGAGATCAAGGTTTCATAAATTATGGTATGTTTTTATTATTATTGAAAATATTTATATATAAGGTTTTAAGCTTCTTAAGTATACCTATTAAGAATATTTATTGATAAAAGTAGATTTAGGATGGAATTTTAGGTTGCTAAACGTCGCACAAACCATGTGGTGAAAACCATGGTAACAACTTCTGAGTGAATGTACCAAAGTCGTTGTTTACAAAAACCAGATTTCACTGTTCATTTACAGTATGTAGTATAGTTATCAAAACCATTTAGGAGACAATGTAAATATCTGATACAGCTTAGACTTTGCACAAAAACAATTCTAAAGTTGTTAAATGGGCATAACTATACTTCCAGGGCCCATGTGGTGATACTTCACACTAGGTTAGGTAAGGTTCGTGTTGTGACCATAACGCGCGAGCTGAGCGAGCAAGCGAGTGCACCGCGGCAGCTGCCGATTAAGCGCTAGAAAAAAAAGATATTTTTTCTATGAAAAAGTATCACCCCTTGTGCCCTGGAAGTACAGTTTTACTGTTAAATGTTATCTTTATATACATTTAAAGATTGAAAAAAAATATGTAAAAAGTAAACCATTAAATCTGCAATTTTTTCTTCCATTTCTTTTTTTAGTGATGCAAGCTGCATGTCTCTTTCAGCTATAAGAATGGTTTTCTGTTCTGCAATCTCATTTTTTTCTCCTCTTAAATTTTCAATTTGAGATGCAAAATCATTTTCAACTAACTCGATCTTAATGTTCAGTTCTGATTGAAGTTTATCTTTCATGATTTTTGAAGATTCTTGCATGTTTTTAGCATTTTGAATTTTTTCTTCAATATGCTTAATTTCATAACTTTGTGACTCTTCAAATTTAAGTTTCACATTATGCAAAATATTTTTATCATCTACATGTTCTAGTTTTATCCTTTTACTTGGTATTTTAAAATCTTCTGAGGGGTTTGTGAATTTGTAAACAAATTCTTCTGTTGGTTCCAAAACAACCACATCTTCATATCGAAGTTCTTTTGTAGCACCTTTGCCTAATGGAATTCCATTAACGGTGATACCAAATGCACTATTGTCTAATAATATCCAGCTTTCATTTACTTTTTTAATGGTGCAGTGGTTTCTTGATATTGATAATAATGGTAATACTATTGAGTTATTAAGCCCACGACCGATGGAGACCTGCATAGAAAATAGCATATTTGCTCCTTTTATTATTTTATCTAGTAGCTTTTCTGCAGTACATACATTACTTATAGAACTAGGTGTGTACACTGAAAGATTTTTTTTTTTTATATAATTTTATGTAAAATATTTATAAATGATGTAAACTAAGCTATTAACGTGTAGAGTGACCAACAAACTAAAGAAAAATAAATTTCCTAAGAATAACAACTTACTTCATTTGCGTTTAAAGGAATTTCATGGAATATTTTAAACTCGGGCTTTAAAGTTTTACAGGAAAGCAGAAGGGGGAAGTTATCATCCATATTTTAAAGTTTCATATATGTTTAAACTCTAAATCCAAATACAAAGTAGATACAAAAACATAACCTATTACAATCTTCTTATTCTTTTTTTTTTATTTTATTATTATAATGGCTCGCACGGTTTGTGCATTGGCCACGACAGGGTAAAAGGTAAGGAAACCAAAATAATGAAATAAAATGGTTGTGAAACGGAATTTGGAAGGATTAGGATCAGGTAGGTACGTAAAATTAATTTGAAACGTAAGTAATAGGTCTATTTAAGTATATAAAATACATTACATTATTTGTTATAAATTAGGTATTTATAATTTTTATAATACAATAAGGAAGGAATAGAAGTAGGGAGAGGTACATTAAGGGATATTAATGAATCCATAAAAGAGGAGAAATCATTGAGGGGACACTCGAAGAAGATGTGATTTAAGTCCTCTGCTCCAGTACCACAAGCACAAATATTATTATTTACTATGCCCAGTTTAGCCAGGTGGGAAGAAGAACAGTTATGACCTAGACGCATTCTTATGAGACTTGATGTGGCAAACTTACTTAAATGAATTTTAGAAAACCATGGTTTATCGGGAATACATCGTTGAATTAATTTATAATGTTTACCTTTGGTGCGACTACTAGTATCCCAATTTTCTTCCCAAGATATGCGTAGATGTACTTTAGGAAGTAAAACAAGATCATTTACTAAATTTTTATAGGGAAAGACGTCACCACAATTCACTGAATCTTTAGCGAGTTTATCAGCTACTTCGTTGGCAGTGATGTTATGATGGCCAGGTATCCACGCAAAGAGCACATTTAGATTCTTCAAAGTACAATTCAGTAATAATTTCCTACAATCGATCAAATAGGCGTTAGAAAAAGAAGCTTTAAAAGGAAATTTTTCTATTGCCTGTAAAGTGCTTTTGGAATCGGAGAAAATAATTGTCTTTTTGAGTTGTGCAAGCAAAATGTATTCTAATGATTTAAGGATTCCATAACATTCTCCTGTGTATACTGAGGTTTCTGGGGGTACTTTAATTTTTTGTTTTATTATATACTGTTGGTGGTAAACACCGATTCCAACTATCCCAGTAGATGGATGTTTAGATGCGTCACAGTAAATGTAATACCAGTCTGGCCATTCTGTATTAACAATACTCATTAGATTAATATTAGCATTTTTATCATTACGTAAAGAGTCTAAATAAATTACTTTGGGTGAAATGGTAAGAGCTTCATAATTAATAGAAAAAATGGGAAGATATTGTGATCGGTGGGTGGGTGCTAGCAGTGAAGTAAATTTAATGTAGCTGATTACCAAGCAAGGGAGCGACTTGTTATTCCAATATGCCGAATTATTAATTTTACGCAATAAATGGTCTAAATTGTTAAAAAGAGGGTGGTCAGAAAGTTGAAGAACTCTAAATAGAAATTTATCACATAAAAATTGTCTCCTTAGTTTTAAAGGAGGATCCACACATTCAACCTGCAGTGCATTAATAGGGCTTGACTTCATGGCGCCAGTTACAATGCGAAGAGCTTTAGACTGGATTCCATCTAACTTACTTAGTGCTAATGCACTACAGGGCTCCAGAAAGCAAGTTCCATAATCAAGGATACATCTGATAATAGCATTATATATTAATTTTTGTGTTGATAGATGAGCTCCCCACCAAACACCAGATAGGCATCTTAAAATGTTTAATAATTTTTCACATCGAGCTGATACATAATAGCAAAATATTCCATGAAATTCCTTTAAACGCAAATGAAGTAAGTTGTTATTCTTAGGAAATTTATTTTTCTTTAGTTTGTTGGTCACTCTACACGTTAATAGCTTAGTTTACATCATTTATAAATATTTTACATAAAATTATATAAAAAAAAACAATCTTTCAGTGTACACACCTAGTTCTATAAGTAATGTATGTACTGCAGAAAAGCTACTAGATAAAATAATAAAAGGAGCAAATATGCTATTTTCTATGCAGGTCTCCATCGGTCGTGGGCTTAATAACTCAATAGTATTACCATTATTATCAATATCAAGAAACCACTGCACCATTAAAAAAGTAAATGAAAGCTGGATATTATTAGACAATAGTGCATTTGGTGTCACCGTTAATGGAATTCCATTAGGCAGAGGTGCTACAAAAGAACTTCGATATGAAGATGTGGTTGTTTTGGAACCAACAGAAGAATTTGTTTACAAATTCACAAACCCCTCAGAAGATTTTAAAATACCAAGTAAAAGGATAAAACTAGAACATGTAGATGATAAAAATATTTTGCATAATGTGAAACTTAAATTTGAAGAGTCACAAAGTTATGAAATTAAGCATATTGAAGAAAAAATTCAAAATGCTAAAAACATGCAAGAATCTTCAAAAATCATGAAAGATAAACTTCAATCAGAACTGAACATTAAGATCGAGTTAGTTGAAAATGATTTTGCATCTCAAATTGAAAATTTAAGAGGAGAAAAAAATAAGATTGCAGAACAGAAAACCATTCTTATAGCTGAAAGAGACATGCAGCTTGCATCACTAAAAAAAGAAATGGAAGAAAAAATTGCAGATTTAATGGTTTACTTTTTACATATTTTTTTTCAATCTTTAAATGTATATAAAGATAACATTTAACAGTAAAACTGTACTTCCAGGGCACAAGGGGTGATACTTTTTCATAGAAAAAATATCTTTTTTTTCTAGCGCTTAATCGGCAGCTGCCGCGGTGCACTCGCTTGCTCGCTCAGCTCGCGCGTTATGGTCACAACACGAACCTTACCTAACCTAGTGTGAAGTATCACCACATGGGCCCTGGAAGTATAGTTATGCCCATTTAACAACTTTAGAATTGTTTTTGTGCAAAGTCTAAGCTGTATCAGATATTTACATTGTCTCCTAAATGGTTTTGATAACTATACTACATACTGTAAATGAACAGTGAAATCTGGTTTTTGTAAACAACGACTTTGGTACATTCACTCAGAAGTTGTTACCATGGTTTTCACCACATGGTTTGTGCGACGTTTAGCAACCTAAAATTCCATCCTAAATCTACTTTTATCAATAAATATTCTTAATAGGTATACTTAAGAAGCTTAAAACCTTATATATAAATATTTTCAATAATAATAAAAACATACCATAATTTATGAAACCTTGATCTCATACATTAAAAATAGGGATAGGGATGTGTTCACAGTATCAGGTTAATAATATTTAATATTTCAGAATCAAATACAGAAACACCATGAAACAGAATCAGAATTGTTAAAAGAAAATAGTAACCTGAAAGAAAAGCTACTAAAAGACAGAACAGAATTTCTTGATGAACTGAACAAAGAGAGTTCATCGAAGCAAGACATGTTGGAGAAACTTGAAGCTAAATTGCGAGAACAGAAAGAGGCCTGCTTGAAGGAGAAAGAAGAAATGGAACAGAAGCTTAAAAACGAAACTGAGCAACTAAGATTAGCTAAAGAAAAGGTAAATTTGCAATGTTCAGTAGCTTAAAATTTGTCTTATCTTTATTACTAAATCAATTGTTGTTACCAGGAGCTAAAACAGTTGGAAGAATTGAAGAAGCAAAGAGAAACAGAACTGCAGCAAGAATTAAATGATATAAGAAAAGACCTTGAACAGCAGGTCCAAAAAGCAGCACAAGAAAAAATCCAAGCAGAACAGATACTTAGTGAAGAGAGGAAGAAGCTTACTGATGAGGAGAAAGCCAAGATTGAACAACTGGTGAGTTTTTTGTTTGGAAATGAAATAAAAATTTTATTAGCTTTTCCATTTTTCTTGATGTTTTGGCAACAGCTCATCACGAATTTTTGACAGCTCTGTAACATATTGTATAGTCGAAGTTTCTAATAAAACTAAGCAGCGCCCCTGTCGGACGTCAGAACTACCTAGCATTTTCCATACAAAATTTGAGGAGGATATGTTAAGGAGATGCCAAAATCCGTGCTTTGGTCTCTGTTCAAAAATATTTTTAGTAAATGATTAGTGTGCATGAAAACACAGGAATTAAATTCATTATTTAATTATCTAAGGTTTACTTATTGCTTTTAGTTTGTCTGTGGTGATATTAAGATGAGTATTTTTTATTGAATCAAACACATAACTAACACTATTAGCATAGTTATATTTAATAGTATTTTATTGCTTTAGCTCAAAGAAAAAAATGAAATACAGAGGAAATTGAAAGATGCCCAAGAAAACTCTGACAAAGCTATGGAACAATAGGCTAGTTTACTCATGTCGAATTGTATTAAATAAATGTTTATTTCTTAAAGTGTTTAGTCTAAGGAACCTTAATATATCGATTTCACTTCATAAAAGCAGAAGATTGCTGTAGAAATTTAATTTTAAAAAATATTTTTTAGTCTATATTTTTTAAACACTAAAAACGCTGTTCGCCACATTCGCCATGATTTTGACGTCTCTTATGGTAAACAACTAAATGTCATTCGCGTGTTACTGTAGGTGGATTCTTTCGTCTGACTAAATTTATCTTAAAACACTTTTAACTTTAGGAAAGAAAAAAACAGTAAACTTAGTTTTTTTTGACTAAACAAATTATGGATGCCGGCTTTGTGAAAGCAGAAAGCACAAATCTGCCAAGAATTGACGCATTGATGGTTGGTGAATTTGTTGCACTAAACCCCGATTTCTGCTCTGCGGAGCAGAGAAACGACAAGGCATCTATGTAAGTACCGTGCATTTAGTATTACAATGTAGTAATAAACATAAAACTGATACAACATATGAATAAGTGTAATAAAGTTGCGTAGGTTAATTTCTTTCGGCACTTTAATCCACAGCTTTCCTGGAGTCTTCAAGGATGTGTTTTTATATTCTCGTACAATACAGTAATGATAATTACTTTATTTTTCGTGGTATTTATTAGAAATCATGTTTTTTTTTATTAAAAACTCAGTTAAAAGTAATTTTCTACGTGTTTACGAGTTTTTGTTTACCACAATTCACGTCATAGCATAGACAATCTATAGACTAAAATGGCCGACAGCGTTTTTGTATGTCCATGAAAAGTCTATTTTAAAATTAAAGATTTGTAGCTTTCTAGGTTTAAAAAAAATACAATAC